CTGAGAGAGTCTGAACACCAGAACTAACCGAGGGTCTGAGGCGTCCACCTGAGACACCTGGGAAACACGGGGTTGCGTTCCTGGGGGTCATGCTTTTGGAGGAAGATGCATTCAGATGGGAGTTTGCTTAAGTCATCAGCCCAAGTGTTCATGGAAATCCCCATTTCTGTTTATCACAGGTCCTGTTAGGCTATATCACCCCTCAACTATACTTCTTTTGTTTTCAATTTTATCGAGTTAGCATTGGCCCCGATTTCAATCTGTACCTGCATTTATAAAACCTACTTTTGACAGCCAACATAGTAGCTCTCATTCCCTAATTCGTGTCATGTACAACTTTGATCGATGTCCTTAATCTAATAACTGATAAAAATTTAAACCAGCCAGTTAGAGAAGCCACACTAACCTCTGCAGGAAAATCCTTACTGTACAGTTTACTTAACAAGCCACACTTTCAAAAAGCCATTAAAGATGCTGCAGACTCCAAATCACAACGCTTCCATAAAACAGCCCGTTTGAGGTTGAGAGACACGCATCATCATTTCACAATTCTTGTGAAACTAAGGGAGATACTCTAAATACGCTAAGTTATTAATAACTCTGCACATAGCCTGATGCCTGTATTAGTCTGTTTTCATGCTGCTGACAAAGATATACCTGAGACTGGGCAATTTACAAAATAAAGGGGTTTAATTGGACTTACAGTTCCACATGGCTAGGGAAGCCTCACAATCAAGGCAAGGAGGGACAAGTCACATCTTACGTGGATAGCAGCAGTCAAAAAGAGCTTGTGCAGGAAACTCGCCCTTACGATAACCATCAGATCTCGTCAGACTTACTGTCATAAGAACAGCATGGGAAAGACCTGCCCCCATGATTCAATTACCTCCCACTGGGTCCTTCCCACAACACATGGGAATTCAAGACAAGATTTGGATAGGGACACAGCCAAACCATATCATTCCATCCCTGGCCCCTCCCAAATCTCATGCCCTCACATTTCAAAACCAATCATACCTTCCCAACAGTCCTCCACAGTCTTATCTCATTTCAGCATTAGCTCAAAAGTCCACAATCCAAAGTCTCATGCGAGACAAGGCAATCCCTTCCACCTGTGAGCCTGTAAAATCAAAAGCAAGTTAGTCACTTTCTAGATATAAAGGGGGTACAGGCATTGGATAAATACAGCCATTCCAAATGTGAGACATGGGCCAACACAAAGGGGCTACAGGGCCCATGCAAGTCCAAAATCCAGCAGGGCGGCAAATCTTAAAGCTCCAAAATGATCTCCTTTGACTCCATGTCTCACATCCTGGTCACGCTGATGCAGAAGGTGGGTTCCCATGGTCTTGGGCAGCTCCACCCCTGTGGCTTTGCAGAGTATAGCCTCCCTCCTGGTTGCTTTCATGGGCTGGTGTTGAGTGTCTGTGGCTTTTCCAGGTGCATAGTGCAAGCTGTTAGTGGATCTACCATTCTGGGGTAGGCCCTCTTCTCACAGCTCCACTAGGTGGTGTCCCAGTAAGGACTGTGGGGGGGGGCTCTGACCCCACATTTCCCTTCCGCACTGCCGTAGCAGTCCTCACTGCCCATAAGCGCCCCGTCCCTGAAGTAAACTTCTGCCTGGGCATCCAGGCATTTCCATACATCTTCTGAAATCTAGGCGGAAGTTCCCAAACCTCAATTCTTGACTTCTGTGCACCCACAGGCTCAACACCACACAGAAGCTGCCAAGACTTGGGGCTTCCACCCTCTGAAGCAACAGCCCAAGCTTTACCTTGGCCCCTTTTAGTCATGACTGGAGTGGCTGGGACACAAGGCACCAAGTCCCTAGACTGCACACAGCACAGTGACTCTGGGCATGGACCACAAAACCATTTTCTCATAGGCCTTCAGGCCTGTGATGGGAGGGGCTGCCATGAAGACCTCTGACATGCCCTGGAGACATTTTCCCCATCGTCTTGGGGATTGACATTCAGCTCTTTGTTACTTATGCAAATTTCTGCATTCAGCTTCAATTTCCCCTCAGAAAATGTGTTTTTCTTTTCTATCACATTGTCATGCTGCAAACTTTCCAAACTTTTATGCTCTGCTTCCCTTATAAAACTGAATGCCTCTAACAGCATCCAAGTCACCTCTTGAATGCTTTGCTGCTTAGAAATTTCTTCTGCCAGATACCCTCAATCATCTCTCTCAAGTTCAAAGTTCCACAAATCTCTAGGGCAGAGGCAAAATGTCACCAGTCTCTTTGCTAAAACATAACAAGAGTCACCTTTGCTCCAGTTCCCAACAAGTTCCTCATCTCCATCTGAGACCACCTCAGCCTGGACCTTACTGTCCCTATTTCTATCAGGCTTTTGGTCAAAGCCATTCAACAAGTCTCAAGGAAGTTCCAGACTTTCCCATATTTTCCTGTCTTCTTCTGAGCCCTTCAAACTATTCGAACCTCTGTCTGTTATCCAGTTCCAAAGCTGCTTCCACATTTTCGGGTATCTTTTCAGCAACATACCACTCCTGGTACCAATTTACTGTATTAGTCTGTTTTTACGCTGCTGATAAAGACATACCTGAGACTGGGCAATTTACAAAAGAAAGAGGTTTAATTGGACTTAAGTTCCATGTGGCTAGAATATCTTATGTGAATGGTAGCAGGCAAAAAGAGCTTGTGCAGGAAAACACCCCCTTACAATAACCATCATATCTCATGAGACTTACTCACTTTCACGAGAACAGCAAGGGAAAGACTTGCCCCCATAATTCAATTACCTCCCACCGGGTCCTTCCCACAACATGTGGGAATTCAAGATGACATTTGGGTAGGGACACAGCCAAACCACATCAATGCCTCTATAAATCCACCAGGAACACTTCTGGAAAATGTTGAACACCTCCAAGGCCCCACAAAACCCTCCTCTACCCACATCTTCATGGCAAGGAGCTACCATGGATCCCCCCCCGAGTGTGCCCAGAAAAGTTACAGGACTGGCTACAACGGAAGGCAACTGAGAGACACAGAGCAAGAGCTGCCCTCCCACCAAAGCCACACGCCACAGAAAGAACTCATTCTTCATAAGGAAACTGAAGCTAGTGGAAAAGGGACAGACAGTAGCTGCCAAAAACCTGGCTGAAGTCCACAACATCCCATCCCCTCATCTCAGACTCACACGGGTGCTCGCTACACCATCACACTGTTTATTTTTCAGAGAACTCCACACACACTAAGATTCACTCGTTTATTTGTTTGTCTCTCCCTTCCAGAATAAGAATTCCATGAGGCCAGGGGCTTTGTGTGTCTGTCTATTCACCACAGAATCTCAGAGATTCTTCTCCAGTAGACACTGAATACATATCTGTTGAATGAATGAATGAATGTGTCCCCAGATGTTTCTCATTTAAGTGAAAATTATCAAACTGACCATATTTTTATAAGTTTAGTTAAAGATGTGACCATCTTACTTCATTACATCTCCATTAAGACAGTTTGGTATTTCAGTTACAGGTGTATGACTGGGAGTTCAATTCTTCTCTGTGATAAGCACAAATGACTCAGGCTACCATTCAATATTCATTTTACAGATATATGAAGCTTGTCTACTCACATTCAAAGGTTTTCGTTAATTCGTCTTTTATCTAAATCAGTCAAGTCTTTTCTCATAAATGAGAAATATTAAGTGGCAGCTCTCAAGAAATAAAAAAGTGACTAGCAGAAATAATCTGCAACTTCTGTGAATAAGTTTTTTCTCAGTGTCTAAAATAACAAACACCATTTATGGACCAAAGACTAGGTGTCATGAGTTTTAGAAATTGGTACCCAGTCCGCTGTTACATGTACCATTATCCCAATGGCAAAGATACACAGAAAGCCAAGGCTCGGAGGCAGTAAGCCATAGGTTCAAGGCCTCTTGCTGATGACAAAACCGGAATCTGAACCCACGTCGGGCTTACATTTACACATACATGTATACAAATGTACATATATACAGCTTAGATTCAATGAAATACAGTAATCTAGTGATGGAACAAATTACTTCTAATAAATGTTATAAAATATAAACGCCTCTCTGAATCCTTTAGAAAATTAATTTTGCCATGAAGTACAAAAAGGAAAGAGATAAAACTTAAGTATGAACAAAGTTATAGGAGACTGCAAACATTTGGTAATATGCACTGTCTTTTTTTGGGGGGGGGTACTAAATTTCTTTATTTGAAGAAATGGTACAAATCAAAGAATTTAAGTGGATGTTTTGGTACAACTTATAGAAAAGGTAAAGGAAACCCCAACATGCATGCACTGCCTTGGTGACCAGGGAAGTCACCCCATGGCTACGGGGAAATTAGCCTGAGGCTTAGCTTTCATTATCACTGTCTCCCAGGGTGTGCTTGTCAAAGAGATACTCTGCCGAGTCGGATTCGGGTGCTCCCATCTTGCGCAAGTTGGTCACGTGGTCACCCAATTCTCTGATGGCTTTCACCTGCTCATTCAGGTAAAGTGTCTCAATGGAGTCACACAAATGGGGGTCATTTTTGTCAGTGGCCAGTTTGTGCAGTTCCAGTAGTGACCGATTCACATTTTTTTCCAAATGTAAAGCACACTCCATCGCATTTAGCCCGCTCTCCCAGTTGTCATAGTCTGGTTTCTTGATATCCTGAAGGAAGATTCGGCCACCTCGTTGGTTCTGCAGCTTCATCAGTTTCTCGGCATGTTCCCTTTCCTCATGAGATTGGTGAAGACAGTATTTGGCAAAGTTCTTCAAAGTCACATCATCGCGGTCAAAGTAGTAAGACATGGACGGGTAAACGTAGGAAGCCTAGAGTTCCAGGTTGATGTGGCGGTTGATGGTGGCCTCTGAGTCCTGGTGGTAGTTTTGGCGCACCTGCAAGGTGGACGCAGTCGTCATGGCGGAGGCTAAGGACAGGAGGCGGTACTGGAGCGGCGGCGGGGGCCTTGGGGTGGTCGGAGGGCGCGGTGAAGAGGTGACGGAGGGCTGGCTATGGGTGGCCAGCAGGGATGGGGGACAAGCGCCGGGTTCCGTCCAAGCACTGTTGAAGCAGGAAACCCTGACCACACTCGGCGAAGAACGGCTGCACTGTCTTTAAAAATCATTTCTCCTTATTGAGGCATTAAGCCATACTGTTTATGATGTGAAGAGCTGTTGGCATCTTTTCTGCCCATAACCATGACCATCACTTACTCATCTTTTTATGCATCCAGGTGCATGAAAAGGCAGTAAGTACATTTTTTAAGAAAATAGCATCAAAAGCAGATTTTAAATCTACCTGTTTTTCTTGTTTGTTTCCTCCAACAGTTAAGGAAAGTAATGGTAATTTCTCATTCCAAACCAAAGACAATTACGCTGCTTTCTAAGGACACAGCTGTAAGTCTCTACAAGATCGGGGAAGGCTAGGACATTTCGGAAAAGCACTCTCAGTAAAGTTGATGCTTGAATGGGCGGCTGGAAATGCATCGATGTTCAGGGTCTCTTTTCACGGCCTCTAAACGTGCTCGCGTCATATGCCCACACTGTGTCTATCCCCTCCCCAGTGACATGGTCTGGAGTCCAGTGTGGGAAGGGGAACCGGCAAGCAATGACTCGTGCATCATCGTCAAGTTCAAGTTCAAGTTTCTTCTCCAACTGCAGCATCTGTGGGGAGTAACAGCTATTATTTTAGTGAGCAGTGAGTCAGAGGAAATGATCCCAAAATTTCTTCTGTACTTAAGAGTCCCTGAAAATACCTGAGCAAAAATTACTACTTGTTAAAAAGAGCACTCTGGGACACAAACACATGAACAAACAATCCACTAAAATACAGAAGATACACTGACAGCAGTTGTAAGAACATCTTCTAGTATTAATTATAAAATGTGCCATTTTTAGCAGATGTCTATCATAGATTTATAGTTTTCTCAATAAAATCAAGATGTGGCAGCAATTATAAGCAGCAGCAGTTTTAAATAATTTAGTTCAACACTTCAATATACCTTGTCTCCTATATTTAAGACATTATTTTTCCACAATTTTAAAGAGATGGGGGTCTTGCTATGTTGTCCAGGCTGGTCTCAAACTCCTGGGCTCAAGCAATCCGCCCACCTCAGCCTCCCAAAGTGCTGGGATTACAGGCATAAGCCACTGCGCCTACATTTTTCCACATTTTTAACATCTCTGAAATCAGGACACATCACACAACACTGTCTTAGAATTATAATTAGCAATTTTTTTTGTTTCTCAATAGCAATGGTGCATCCTAAAATCAAGATCTACAGTCAATGAAACGTAGTATAGTTAGACCATGAAAAAACATACACAATTCTACCAACTGGAAATACCATGAAATATTTCATAATTTTTTAAAATGTACCCATAATGTACTAATAATGGATTTCTTAAGAGTTAGCCTAACTTATACCACTGTTGTACCATTTTGTTGTCAATCTACCAACAAAGAAAAGAGTTTTTACTATTCGCTAAAAGTACTGATATTTTAATTACATCAACAAATTAACAACTACTTAAAAATTTATCTGCAGGTCCTAAAAATATATTACCACCTTCACATCCTAAAAATACTTTTTTTCTACTTTCTTCTTTTAACTTGTTATTTTGGGATAATTTCAAACTTCCAGAAAAGTTGCAATAACAGAACAAAGAAGAACAAAGAACTCCTGTATACCTATACCCAGGTTCAATAATTTTTTTTTTTTTTTTTTTTTGAGACAAGGTCCATCACCCAGGCTGGACTGCATTGGTGCGATCTTGGCTCAATGCAACCTCCGCCTCCTGGACTCAAACCATCCTCCCACCTCAACCTCCTAATTTTGTAGAGATGGGGTTTTGCCATGTTGCCTGGGCTGGTCCTCAACTCATGAGCTCAAGCCATCTGCCCGCCCCAGCCTGTCGAAGTGTTGGGACTACAGGCGTGAGCCACTGCACCTGGCCTATGGGTTTACCAATTTTCAACATTTTGTCACATTTGTTCTCTTCCTCTGTCTTTGAACATTTTTTTTCCTAAACCATTGGAGAAAAGGTTGCATACAATATGCTCCTTTACTCCCTTAATACTTCAGTGTGTATTTTCTAAGAAAAATATTTTCATACATAATCCCAGCACAGTTATCTTCAGGAAATTTAACATTGTATTCCAATATAATAATTCCAAATAACACTGCAATTCTGTCATTGTCCCAGTAATGTTCTGTATAACATTTCCCAAAGGTATGATCCTGTCCAGGATCACTTTTGCGTTTAGCCATAGCATTCCTTTGGTCTCCTTAGAGGGAAAACAGCTCCTCAGTCTTTCTTCAGTTTCTGTGACAATAACATTCTTCAGTTATTGGACCAAGCAGCCCTGGCGGTGGGTCCTCTGATGTATGCTCAGGAGCAGTGCAGTGTGTGGTCTTTGGCAACACCCCACCTGTGAGGCTGTGAACTTAGCAGGGCTCCAGACACCCAGGAGGCCCTTCTGCTCTTGATGATGGCATCAGTCACACAGTGAAGGTGGAATCCGGTGTCTCCACTGTGCAGTTGCTATTTTTCCTTTTATAATGAGTAGTTTGTGAGGAGATGCTTCGGGTTGATGTGAATCCTGTTACTCATCAGACAGTCCCCACACTTGAAGTAGCACTCACGGACAATTCTGGCCTGAATCAATCTGCTAATTCTGTCCTTTCTTCTAGACGTACAGTTGGCACTCTACCATAAGGCAGGGCTTTCCCCTCACCTGCTCTGCCTCTCTCTCTTCTTGTCTACCAATCTGCTGTAAGGACAAACACCTATATTCTTATTTCATTTGATAGGTTATAATCCATTCCTGTCCTTGTGTATTCGAAAGCTCGAATTGTCCTAATTTGGCCACTGGGAGGCTCTTGCCGCTGGCTTCTCTGTCCTTTGGACACGCTGTTATCAAATACTGTGAGCACTTCCTTACATTCTGGCTCAATAAAATGTTCCTGGCTTTTGTATCTTCCTTCCACAGCCCTGATTCAGCCTTTTTCTCAAAGATTCCTGATTCCTCTTAGTGAGAAGTGATATTTAGAAAAAAAGATCTAAGCAAAAATTACTCCTCTAAAAAAACCAGATTAAATCAAGACGAAATTGATAGGGCTTCTATGATGGTTTTAGTCCTGACCTAAATCTTATACAAGTGCTTAGAAAAACTACATGACCTATGGCTGGAATGAGCCAAATTCTAATTGTTCATCAGAATCAATGCCAAGATAACACAGAATAAATTCCATTAAGGATGGAGGAATTTCTATTCTTTCAATAGCCAGTATAGGATTAAAAAAAAAAAAAAAAAGTTGTGTTCCTTGAGGGAAAAATTAAATAAGCAAAGAATGAAACAATATGTGTTTTTCCAAAATATCAGAGATTTCTTATGGTAATTTTGTTCATAAAAAAGATAATTGTAAACTTATTCATGATGCTATTATTCTTTTCTCTTTTATAGTTTCTTTTATTTCCAAATGATTGTCATATGCTAAGTCAAGATAAACCTAAAAATGAAAGGAGCTATTTCCATCATAAGAAATTAACTGACTAAATTACACATAAATATGCAACGAATCTGGTGCTTGATATCATACACAAAGAGAAGCCGTGATGTGTCATGTCTGCCTAATGGAATTCAAAATTATTCATACAATTATAGGTTTCAAAGTGACATGAACTCATCCTATTCTAATTATGTCTACAAAATTTTAAACATAGTTCTCAAAGGTATAAGATAACCTAGCCCTGCCATACACACACACCCCGCCCCCTAGGAACCCCGGTTTCACTGGACCACCAGGGTAACTCACTCCTGGCACTTCCTCCTCCCCAGGCTCCCCTCTCCAAGTCCTACTGGTTGCCCCCTCATTTCCCAGACCTCTAATGCCAGGGTCCAGAGCTCAGGTCTTCAACGGCTCATCCTCATGCTCCCCAGGGAATCTCAGCTACTCCCAGGCTTCACGTGTGCTGATACCCAACAAACGTACATCTCCAGCCTGTTCTCTGGCCCAAACCCCAGACTCCTTCTCACCCACCACTGCCAGCCTGATGTCATGCACACCCAAACATCACATGCACATGCTGACTTTCCCAGTCAGCTCCGCTTGCACCTTCCCCAGCATAGTTCAAGGCAACCCCAAGCATGTGGCAGGATGGCCCAGTGGTCTAAGGTGCTAGACACAAGCTTCCACTTCCCAAGGCAACTCCAAACTTCCAGTAACTTGGGCCAACACCCTGGGGCTACCTGTGACCCCGCCTTTGTCTCTCTCCCCATGTTAGATCTGCCAGCTAGTCCTGTGGATTCTACCTTCACAATGCACACAGAATTTGATGCTTCTCACCAGTTACTCCATGGCCTGGACATCTGCAAGAGTTTATAACCTGTCTCCCAGCTTGTACCCACCTCTGCCTCCACATGGCTGCCTGTGACCCTTCTCTAGCCCAGCCAGCCCTGCATGCATTCCTCTCTGCTCACTCAGGGCTTCTGTCCTTCCAAGGGCTGGTGTCCTTCCCATCCTGCTTCCTCTCTGACCTCCCCACGCACACTCACGCCATACCTGCCTGCTTGCCCCACTGCCCCCCACCCTGTCCGAGGCGCTTTTCCCTGCAAGCCCCCTCCCTAACCTCAAAGGTCACCTTTGCAGGGATCCTGTCCCTGCCCCACCCCGCCCTTGCTTTGCTTTGCTCCACAGCACTTTTGCTTCTGCTGTATGATGCATCTTCTACAGGCGTCTCATGTAGTATCTGCTCTCCCCACTAGCATATGAGCACCTGGGGCAGGCGTGTTTTCTCTCGTACTCATTGAAATATTCCAAGTGATTAGAACAGGGCTTGCTATAGTGGCCACACTTGTCAAATGAACGAGGGAAGGAAGGAAGAAAAAGTTATTCAGCTACGAGTTATTTTTCTTTATTAGAACATAATGATAATATTTTTGTTCATCAATTCATAACAGCCAAGCATGGTGGCTCATGCCTGTAATCCCAACACTTTGGGAGTCTGCAGCAGGAGGAATGCTTGAGCCCAGCAGTTCAAGACCAGCCTGGGCAACATAGTGAGACTCCGTCCCTACAAAAACTAAAACAATTAGCCGGACATGGTGGCACACGCCTGTATTCCCAGTGACTTGGCAGGCTGAGACAGGTGATCGCTTGAGTCCAGGAGGCTGGGGCTGCAGTGAGCCAAGATCACACATGACTGCACTACAGCCTGGGCAACAGAGTGAGACTCTGTCTCAAAAAAAAAAAAGAAAAAAAATTCAGAACAGAATTTGTAACTAAAATTAAATTAGTCATTCTTTGAAGTTATGAAAGTAGATAGCTTTCTGGGGAAAGTATAAATACTGGGTATACTCAGACCACATTCATTCATTCAATGACCGTTTACCAAGCAATGCCTGTGCCAGTGCTGCAGTGCTGGAGGCCTGGGCCAGTTGGAAGAGGACAGGCCTGCTCCCTACTCCCGAGCTGATGGTGCAGTGCACACAGCAAGCACTGTCGAAGCCTTCAGACAAAGAAATGCACAATGACCCGTCTAAGGACAGGGCAACAAGATACTATGTGAGTGCAAAGCAGGCCACTGGAGCTCGCCTCATTGGCATCAAGGACTGCCTTGCAGAGGCCGGGCGTGGTGCCTCACGCCTGTAATCCCAGTACTTTGGGAGGCCGAGGCGGGCAGATCATGAGGTCAGGAGATCGAGACCATCCTGGCTAACATGGTGAAACCCTGTCTCTACTAAAAAAATACAAAAAATTAGCTGGGCGTGGTGGCGGGTGCCTGTAGTCCCAGCTACTCGGGAGGCGGAGGCAGGAGAATGGCGTGAACCTGGGAGGCAGAGCTTGCGGTGAGCTGAGATGCGCCACTGCACTCAAGCCTAGGCGACAGAGTGAGACTCTGCTGTCTCGAAAAAAAAAAAAAATGCCTTGCAGAGGAAAAGACAGCTGGCCCATAAGTTGTCAGTGCCATTCACCAACGAAGTCCAGAGCCAGGGAGACCACAGTCAGAGGGAAGGACACAGCCCCAGGCTCTGGGAAGAGCAGCAATGGTGAGGTCCAAGGGGCCAAGAGAAGGACGGAGGACTGGTACAGAGAGCTGAGGGCAGCATGGCCCAGAGGAAGCTGGAAGGGAGCAAGGGCCACTGCACACCAGCCTCAGGGCCACAGTGTTTGGACCTTATCCCTAAAAACAGCAAGAAGCCACAGAAGGGTTTTCACGAGAACAAGATTGGTCTGCTCTGCACTTTGAAAAGATGCTCTTGGTGCATAAGCTCATGTTAAACGTGGATGTTTACAACCCCAGGACTGGCTTGACCAGATCCAAATGGGATTCCTGCTCCTTTTCAGTTAGATACATAATTGTGTGGAACTGCTACAGCACCTCTGATTTTGAGCTACAACTGCACAGAGCTGTTAGGGATCATCAGTCTGGTATCAGAAACAGGGGTGAGGGTTTACAGCCCCAGGGATTCCTGGCTCTGGACCTCCCCAAGGCTCCCCTGGCTCACTGAGTATCTATCTGGGCATCAGCTGCCATGGGAACATCTCATGGCACGCTGGCTTTGTGGAGTCACCCAGCCGCAGCTGGCCATGGTTCACAGCACACGCCCCGCCCCCTCATGGCCTCTGCTGAGACACAGCTTAATGAAGGTTGAAAGTGGGGCCCTCCACACACAAAACTCCGCCTTCCAAACCAACAGAAGTCATCCCAGCCTCCGCACCCCTGACCGACCCACCAGCATGGAGACGGCGAGCTGGCCAAATCTCTGTTATGACAGGGAACGTGGACACTTTGTGTCTTTCAGCTGCTCCCCGTTTTCCTGGGGAATAGTGAAATGCTACATGTTCCTTATTTCAGATTTCTCTACATACAGAAGAATGGACATTAATCACAAAAGTATTCATAAATAATAAGACTCTTATTTCCCCTGACTGAACGGCTCCAAAAAGTGAGTCAGTCTACTTCAAACATGGTAAGAAGCACCCGGAGTCGGCTCCACAGGTCCTGGAGTGACGATGACTACCAAAGGCCACTGCTGCCCCCCGCTGGGACAAGTAACCCTGGTTTCATCATCCTGCCTCTCCACACAGCACGGAATTTCCAGTAAATGCTAACATTCTATCTTTATAAAGCACGGGTTCAAATTAAAGTTACTTGTCTCCAAAAAGCGAACACATTCCATTTTAGAAGTAAAGCCCAAACATCACAGGTAATAAATCACCATCAAAATTACATATCAATCTATGATCCCAATCAGTTTTCTTAAAAATGACCAGGGAGTGTGCCCTTCTACCTCATTTCACTTCTATAAGAAAAGGCTGGATACCAAAGTTTGGTCTTAATTTTAGGCATAATGAGAATTATAAATGTACAGGATACTGTCACTTTCAAGAATATTTTACAAGACTGGGCACAACGGCTCACACCTGTAATCCTAGTACTTGGGGAGGCCGAGGCAGGCAGATCACTTGAGGTCAGGAATTCAAGACTAGCCTGGCCAATATGGCAAAACCCCACCTCTACTAAAAATAAAAAAATTAGCTGGGCATGGTGGCAAGTGCCTGTAGTCCCAACTACTCGGCAGGCTGATGCAGGAGAATTGCTTGAACCAGGGAGGCAGAGGTTGCAGTGAGCCGAGATCACGCCACTGCACTCCAGCCTGGGCAACAGAGCAAGACCCTGGCGCAAAAAAAAAAGTATTTTACAAAAGCATTTCTAAATTATATTTTAAAATTAAAGACTATGGCATTATACTGAAGGTCTTAGTAGTAGAAATACATTTCTCAAGCACTGAAATGTCTTATACAAAAATGCAGGTATTAATTAAAAAAAACAAAAAAAAGTAAATTGTCTTTTTAAAAAATTAAAATCCTATCAGCTATATTGCAGCATTTTAGCAAACATCCAATTCTGCCAGTTTTATGATGGCTACAATGATAGACTGAAAAGTGAAAAGGGATTTCCTTCCATGGTCTGTGCACCAGCAATACAGTAAAAGCTTCCCACCATGACCATCTTTCCAAAGGCTAAGGAGGGCCATTTTCAGTGCAGTACTGCGGCATTTTCACTTTTGAAAGTACATAATCAAAGTTCAATATGCCATTCTTTAGCAAATCAGTAAACTGAGGTAAACTGAAACTACTCAATGCTCATCCACCCAGAAAATTATCTTCCTGCCAAATGGGAGGAATGATCAATTCAGAGGGAACATCCCATTAACTTTCCAGAGCGACTTCAGCCGAGTGGAAGTGAGTGGCTGTGAAAACTGCCAACTACATTAGACACGGGGACCTCAGAAAGCAGCTTCCAAACTGGAATGTTTAAGGCTTAGGCAAATCATTGAGAATTTCATCTGAAGCCAAAGTTTAAAAGTATGGCTGAATCTTTTACGATTAAACTTCTAGGACTCTGAATTATTTTATTAAATCAATGAACTGAAATCCAGTGTTCCCTGAAATCTCTGGGAGGCCATCACCATCACACGGGTGAGTGGTGGTGTTGCGGCTGGAAGGGCCTTCAACATCATCTAACCCCAAAGAGAGAGCAGAAAAGTGCGTACTCACCATCTGAGGCACACCGAAAACAACAACGTTCGAGTACTGCGAAAAAGTAACCTGAACAAGGTGGGAAAACAATCGGTAGATTAAATGCAAAAAGCCAAATGTTAAGCTTAACTTGTTTCACAGAAATGGGTAGCAGTTTTCCGTTTTACCAAACGGTGGGTTTTGACAAACTCCTAAAAAGAGCGGCCCTCATTAAGATTTCACAAGGAAAAGAATAATACATTCATGCTCTCATTCATTTTAATTCAATCCATTACAGTTTTCCAAACGCTTCCCTGTAAGTCATCCCATCTCATCCTCAGGGCGACTCCATGCAAGGCGCGCCCCAGTGGTCATGTGTCAGACAGCTAGTGACCACACTGTGACCCCACTGTGACCAGCTGGTGGCACCGGGGCCACATGTTCCTGCACCAGTCCACTCTACACCAAACCAGCTTCACCAGAACGTGAGAGACTTCAGAACCATCTGGGTTTTTTTGTTGTTGTTGAACCATCCTTAAAATTTGAGTCCCCCTCCTCTTCTCTAAAATACTATGTAAAAAAAGTGCAATAAAATGGTCTTTAGTTGAAAAACTGGGGGGAAATGTGCTTTGCCAGTTAAAATTCTTATTGCCCAATAAAAGTCTTATTTACTCTATAGAGAGATCGTTTATGCACATATGGCATAAAAAAACAATGCAAGCAAAACTCAAGTGAATTTTTGTAAGCTACTGATGACAATATTACAATGGAAAATTCTTATTTAAGAAAAAGCATTTTATGGAACATTCCTAAAGCAAAATTACAGAGCATTTTTAGAGTTTTTAGAGTACAAATAAATTTGGAAGTATCTTATACTTTATGAGGATAAGAAATAACCATGACAGCATGATTCTCTAGCACCCACCTCTGTGTCTCTCTAAATATACGAATATGCATACACACACACACACACATACAGGCACACAAATGGAAAAATCTAATATTTATCAATAATAATTTATAGGATTTCCAAATGAGATGAAAAATCTCATTATTTTGTAAGAAACAGAAATTAGAACACACTAATTTAGTAAATAAATTCTTGGAATTCACAAGACCTATACATAAAAACTTTAAGCTTCTCTCTAAAGGAGACTATTTGTAAAATGTATCAATTTTATACATTTCATTATGCCAGAATATTCACATGGATTTTAATTATTTTTCTTTTAATACATTTTTCAGTTCTCAGTCATACGAATTTTGAATAATAAACTTTCCCTTGGATTTCTCTAGGGCCATTCTCTGCCTTACATACCTTCCACAAATCCGAAATATAAAATTTGGCAGAACCATGCACACCTTCTCGCCAAGCGCGGTATCTGGAGTACCAAACTAGCCATGGGTTTAATTCATAACCAACTGCTGTGAACCCTTCCTTCGCAGCCGCTATGACCTGTGGAGAGAGGCAGGATTCATTCAAAATATGAAGAAAAAATGAACATATATGGTCAAACAATATGAATGTCTCCTATCGATGGTTTAAACATCCAATCAAAAAGTGCCTCCTGTAACTAAGACATCATTTAAAAATGTGTCTCTAAAGTGATACAGCTTTGTGGACAAGGTAATAGTCAACCTATGTAACTTAGTTTTCTTGATTGGTTAAAGATTTCACCTCAAGTATCAGAATAGACATTCAGGTTCACTTTGAACACCTCCATAATTGATTCGAGGTCAGCCAACCCCCGGGGAGGTTGAACAAAACATTGCCGAAAATCCACTACATCTCTCCATCAGTGGGCTAGCACAGCAGCAGTGAAATGAATGTGTCGGGGAGGATGATTTTGTGAACAAGTAATAATGTGCAATAAAAATAACCTGTCAATGAAAAATCTGCAATTAGTTACATATTCCCTTTGTAGTTAGTGACTATTCACTCAAAACTGAAAACAGGTAAAATAAAAATGAAATTAATCCGAATAAAGTCAGCTGTGGAATCCCACCAGCCTCCGGAGAGTGGAAGGGATATGGGGCAGTCCTGGGTTCTCTCTGCCCGTCCTGTCCTACCCCATTCTTTAAGGGAGCATCCCTTGACTCAGCTGTTCCACCTAAGATAGTTCCCAAGTAACTACAGTGCTACAAGAAAACATTTTCTCAGAAACCACAAAGATACCGTTCAAATACGTAAAGCATTCAAATATGGATTTTAAAACTTTCTCTTTGATTTCTTGATATGGTTTGCCTCTGTGTCCCCACCCAAATCTCATCTTGAATTTCCATGTGTTGTGGGAGGGACCTGGCAGGAGGTAACTGAATAATGGGGGCAGGTCTTTCCCACGCTATTCTCATGATAGTGAGTAAGTCTTACAAGATCTGGTTTTATAAGGGGGAGTTTCCCTGCACAAGCTCTCTCCTTGCTTGCCACCATCCATGTAAGACATGACTTGCTCCTCCTTGCCTTTCACCTTCCACCATGATTGTGAGGCCTCCCCAGCCATGTTAAACTGTAAGTCCAATCAACGTCTTTCTTTTGTAAACTACCCAGTCCCAGGTATGTCTTTATCAGCAGCGTGAAAACAGACCAATACTTTTTTTTTTTTTGAGATGGAGTCTCGCTCTGTCGCCTAGGCTGGAGTGCAGTGGCATGATCTTGGCCCAGTGCAACCTCCACCTCCCGGGTTAAAGCGATTCTACTGCCTCAGCCTCCTTAGCAGCTGGGGTTATAGGCGTGTGCCACCACGCCTGGCTAATTTTTGTATTTTTAGTAGAGAAGGGGTTTCACCATGTTGGTCAGGCTGGTCTTGAACTCCTGACCTCGTGATCCGTCCACCTTAGCCTCCCAACATGCTAGGATTACAGGCATGAGCCACTGCACCTGGCCACTAACACATTTCTTAGAAACAAATAGTGGCTCCCAGAGGGTGAGGGGAGGAGGGGAATAGAAAGTTATTTAATTGGGGCAGTGTTTCAGTTTTGCAAGATGGAAAGAGTTCTGGAGATGGGTGGTGGTGACGGTGGCACGGCAACGTGAATGTACTTCCCACCCTGAACCGTACACCTGCACATGGTTAAGATGGTAAACACGGCCGGGCGCGGTGGCTCACGCCTGTAATCCCAGCACTTTGGGAGGCCGAGGTGGGAGGATCACAAGGTCAGGAGATCGAGACCATCCTGGCTAACACGGTGAAACCCCGTCTCTACTAAAAAATAGAAAAAAATTAGCCAGGCGCAGTGGCAGGCGCCTGTAGTCCCAGCTACTCGGGAGGCTGAGGCAGGAGAATGGCGTGAACCCGGGAGGCGGAGCTTGCAGTGAGCCGAGATTGCGCCACTGCACTCCTGCCTGGGCGACAGAGCGAGACTCCGTCTCAAAAAAAAAAAAAAAAGATGGTAAACACTACGGTATGTGTATCTTAACACGATTTTAAAAGTAAAAAAAATAAATTAAATTAAAAATATCTTAACTTTCTAACCTCCTCCTGAATATTCTAGCTTAGAATCACAAAATCAGTCTCTATGTCTGTAGCAGCTGGTGAAAGGTGAGAGTCCTGCTGGCCTTCACACTAAATGCTTCCATAGCACCAGCCTTTCCCACTGCTGCTGGAACTTTTCAGCTCATCACTGCGATAAGGCTAAGGATGGTGCCACCCTGCCCACAGAGGAACCTGCTCTGAGACACCCACTTGTCCGTCAGTGGCCTTTTGTCTTTATTTATAGGTGCCCAACTGGGGTCAAGTGAGAGAAGTTCGCTAAAAAAGTCTGATCTTCGGCTTAGTGAGGGTTAATCACTGGCTCTTTCTTATTTTAACTCTATATTACCCCCCAGGAATTATTAATTATACATGGATAAATACAGACAAATGTAGAAGCAAACAACTATGGGGTTGTTTGCATGATTTAACATGTTTCTTCTCATCATGCCACCTCTGTCGGCCCAAGTATTTAACAGACAATTTAATAATTACCAGTTAACCGTTATTTTTCCCCTGGCATGTCAACAGCGTACTTCCTCCTTTAAGAACAAATTACATCTGGGAAAAATGAATTCCAAACATGCTGGTAGTTTAATAGTTTGGTCAAACAAACACAAAATGAAATGAGCACTCTTTCGAGCTGTCAGATTTAGTAAGTCTTTGTGTAAGCCTTACTAAATGTAAAGCAGAAATTTTAAGTTCTCGTTCCAAACCTTAAAATGTTTTAGCAGAACTCACAATGCGTCCGTCGCCACTACCGATGTCTACAAGGGATCCTCTTCTGCATTGCAACATTTTCACAACATTTTCAATCTGCTTCGTAGTTGCAGGTACAAATGGCAAACAGACTTTTCGAAGGGCTGGCGTTATAAACGGTGTGGCTACAGCATACACAGCCACCAGGGTCCCACCCACAAGCCCAGTAAGTAAGAACCCCCAATTGCTTTTCTGCAAACTGTTGGCTTCAAAACTTGCAGGTAGAACATGTCTTGACTGACTTTCTTCTGTAACTGTTTCTAGGGGTATACCTAGAATGAAAGCAAGCAGAAAAGACACACATAGCACCAAATCTGAAATCCAAGAGAGTAATTTTTCCTACAATTCTTATTGACAAATAAACTCATGCTTTTTAAAGGATAATTCAGCCGAATACAAGCTAAATGCCAAGTGTAGGATCCCATAATAAATCTTATTAAGATATTTTGGAGAACATTATTCAATACCACGAGAAGACTAAAATCTTTTCTTTCCAACATGTTGATTTTTTGTGTGTCTAGGAGTCATCCTTAGAAAACAATGTACTCAAACTTATTGAGCAATTTATTAATTTAATATCCATTAGTACAAGTTTTAATCATGCACTACATATTTTTATGTTCTGAGCTAACATATGTTTATTTGTTCATTGTTGTCTTATTTTTAAAACAAACATAAAGATGTCTAATTATTACCCAATTTCAAGTAGAATTAGAGGATTCCACATCAAATTTGGTCTGGCATCTACAATCCAGTTTCACCAACACAATTTTAAAGTAATAGAAGAGACAAAAATCAGGTTTTACCAAATATCTCAAATAAGTATGGTAATAAAGAGACTTTTACGACAGATCCAAAAGGAATAAAAAATAAGATCATTTTAGTACTATCACAAACACAAAATAATGCAGACCCCAATCACTGATTACAAAGAAATGAATGGTACCTTAAATATCCTCTTGAGATTTGTCCTTTAAAATGCATTTAAATGAGATCTCAGGGTTTTGAAATTAATATTGACTTGAAATTGATTTTAAAATTGATTAATGAGGAGCACAGTACAGGAGGTAAAAACAGGACTCCTCCAGAGCCAGCCAAAGTTAGGATCCCAGCTCTGCCACCTCATTAATGAGGGGACCCTGAATCCCTTGTCCTTGCTGAACCTGTTTTCTCATCTGTAAAGTGGGGGTCACAGGGATATTGTGAGGATGAAATGAGTGGATGGAGGTAAAGCACTTAGAACAGAGTTGAATGCAATTATAGGTTTCCTATAACTGCTGTAAGAAGTTGCCACAAAATTAATGGCTTAAAATAACACCATTTATGGCCAGGCGCAGTGGCTCACGCCTGTAATCCCAGCACTCTGGGAGGCCAAGGCGAGCCTCCCAAAATACAAAATTAGCCAGGCGTGTGGTGCACGCCTGTAATCCCAGATACTTGGGAAGCTGAGGCAGGAGAATCACTTGAGCCCGGGAGGCAGAGGTTGCAGTGAGCCAAGATCGCACCATTGCACTCCAGCCTGGGCAACAAGAGTGAAACTCCATCTCAAAAAAAAAAAAAGAAAAGAAAATCACCATTTGTTATCATACAGTTCTGGAGGTCAGTCTGAAATGAACTGGCAGGCCTGCGTTCCTTCTCGGGGCCCTCAGGCAGGTTTTCTTGTCTCTTCCTGCTTCCAGAGGCTGCCCACATTCCTAGGCTCTGGATCCCACATCACTCCAATCTCTGCTTCCGTCCTGACATCACCTTCTCTCACATGCCTGGCTCCCTCTTAATTTAGAGGAACCCTCGTGATAATACTGGGCCCACATAAATAATCCAAAATAATCTCCCATCTCAAGCCCATTGATTACATCTGTACAGGTGCAGGAATTAGAATGTGGACATTCCTGGAGAGGACATTTTTCTTCCCACCACAACCATGAACTATGGCAATCTATTCCGGTGCAGTACAAATTTGAACCCAAGACACACAGAAAGCTGGCAAACAGCAGTGGGTTACCCTCAGGGCAGCCAGCCAATCACCAGTATCCCCCACTCAGCGCGACTTTGTTCTTGATTCCTGAAGACCCTTAAAATGAGTTGTAAAACTGATTTCATAGTGGAAAACCAACTGGGTCGGGGGAGAGGGCAGTGGGAGGAAGAATGCTACTAGTACTAGTGCTAGTGCTAATGCTAGTGACGGTGGTAAAGAAAATTGACTTTAAGAAGGTGATGGCATTTGATAGAAAGCAAAAGCTTTAAATAATTTCAGTTATAATTTTGGCATTTTACGGAGGAACTTACAGGCATACCTTGGAGATACTTAGTTCCAGACCACTACAATAAAGTGGATATTGCAATAAAGCAAGTTACACAAATATTTTTGGTTTCCCACTGTATATAAAAGTTATGTTTACGCTATACTGGAGTCTATTAAGGGTGCAATAGCACTGTTCAAAAACCAATGTATGTAACTTAATTTTAAAATCCTTTATTGCTTGACATTTTGGTCTGGTTTATCTTCAAAAAAAAATGTTTAATTTTTAAAAAATTGTTTATTGCTAAGAAATTCTAATGATCATCTGAGCCTTCAGTGAGTAAAAATTTTTTTTTTTTTTTTTTTGAGACGGAGTCTCGCTCTGTCGCCCAAGCTGGAGTGCAGTGGCGCGATCCTGGCTCACTGCAAGCTCCGCCTCCTGGGTTCACGCCATTCTCCTGCCTCAGCCTCCCGAGTAGCTGGAACTACATGCGCCCGCCACCACGCCCGGCTCGTTTTTTTTTTTGTATTTTTAGTAGAGACGGGGTTTCACCATGGTCTCGATCTCCTGACCTTGTGATCCGCCCGCCTCGGCCTCCCAAAGTGCTGGGATTACAGGCGTGAGCCACCGCGCCCGGCCGTAAAAATCTTTTCATGGGCGTAGGATCCGGCCTTGACGTTAACAGTTGCTCACTGATGAGGGTGGTGGTTGCCGAAGGTTGGGGTGGTTGCGGCAATTTTTAAAAATAAGACAACAATGAAGTTTGCTGCATTGATAGACTCTTTCCTTCACGAAAGATTGCTCTGTGGCATGTGATGCTGTTTAACAGCATTTTACCCACAGCAGAACTTCCTTCAAATTTAGAGTCAATTTTCTCAAACTCTGCCACTACTTTACCAACTAAGTTCATAAAATATTCTAAATTCTTTGTCATCGTTTCAACAATGTTTACAGCATCCTCACCAGTAGTAGATTCCATCTCAAGAAACAACTTCCCTTGCTCATCCATCAAAAGTGACTCCTCATCACCGATATTTTATCATGCGGTTGCAGCAATTCAGTCTCATTTTCAGGCTCCACTTCAAATTCTCTTGCTATTTCGACCACATCTGTAGTTACTTCCTCCACTTAAGTCTCAAAGTCATCCATAAGGACTGAAATCAACTTCTTCCAATCTCTTATTAATGTTGATACTTTGACCTCCTCGCATGGATCATGAATGTTATTAATGGCATCTAGAATGGTGAATCCTTTCCTGAAGGTTCTGAATCGACTTTGACCAGATCCATCAGTGTGATCACTATCTATGGCGCCTCTAGCCTTATGAAATGCATTTCTTAAATACAAGACTTAAAAGTCAAAATTACCCCCTTGATCCTCGGGCTACAAAATGAATGCTGCGTTGACAGGCATGAAAACAACATTCGTGTCCTTGTATACGGCCACCAGAGCTCTTGAGTAGTAACTAGGTGTGGTATCAATGAGCAGTAATATTTTGAAAGGAATCCTTTTTCTGATCAGTAGGTTTCAACAGTGGGCTTAAAATAGTCAAAAATCATGCTGTAAAGAAAAGTGCTGTCATCCAGGCTTTGTTGTTCCATTTACAGAGCAAAGCAGAGTAGATTTGGCATCATTCCTAAGAGCTCTATGATTTTCTTTTCTTTTTTTTTTTTTTTGAGACGGAGTCTCGCTCTGTCGCCCAGGCTGGAGTGCAGTGGCCGGATCTCAGCTCACTGCAAGCTCCGCCTCCCGGGTTCCCGCCATTCTCCTGCCTCAGTCTCCCGAGTAGCTGGGACTAGAGGCGCCTGCTACCTCGCCCAGCTAGTTTTTTTTTTGTTTTTTTTTTTTTTGTATTTTTAGTAGAGACGGGGTTTCACCGTGTTAGCCAGGATGGTCTTGATCTCTGACCTCGTGATCCGCCCGTCTTGGCCTCCCAAAGTGCTGGGATTACAGGCTTGAGCCACCGCGCCCGGCCAAGAGCTCTATGATTTTCAGAACGGCCAGTGGGCATTGGCTTCAACTTAAGATCACCAGCTGCATTCACCCCTAACAAGAGAGTCAGCTTATTCTTTGAAGCTTTGAAACCAGGCATTGATTTCTCTCTAGCTTCCAACAGAAGGTTGTTTCATCCATACCGAAAATCTGTTGGCCAGGTGCGGTGGCTAAGGCCTGTAATCTCAACACTTTGGGAGGCTGAGGCGGGCGGATCACAAGGTCAGGAGCTCAAGACCAGCCTGATCAACACGGTGAAACCCCGTCTCTGCTAAAAATACAAAAATTAGCCGGGCGTGGTGGCACACGCCTGTAATCCCAGCTACTCAGGAGGCTGAGGCAGGAGAATCATTTGAACCCAGGAGGCAGAGGTTGCAGTGAGCCAAGATCAGGCCACTGTACTCCAGCCTGGGTGACAGAGCGAGACTCCGTCTCAAAAGAAAAAAAAAGAAAAGAAAAAAAAGAAAATCTGTTTAGTGCAGCAACCGTCATTAACAATCTTAGCTAGATCTTCTGGATAACTCGCTGCGGCTTCTCCATCAGCACTTGCTGCTTCGCCTCGCATTTTTATGCTCAGGAGATGGCTGCTCTTTCCTTAAACCTAATGAACCTACCGCAGCTAGCTTCAAACTTTTCTTCTGCACCTTCCTCACTTCTCTCAGCTTTCAGAGAACTGAAGAGAGTTAGGGCCTTGCTCTAGATTAGGCTTTGGCTTAAGGATATGCTGTGGCTGGTTTGATTTTCTATCCAGACCACTCAAACTTTCTCCATATCAGCAATAAAGCTTTTTCACTTTCTTACCATTTGCGTGTTCACTGGAGTAGCACTTTTAATCTCCCTCAAGAACTTTTTCGTTGCATTCACAACTTGGCTATTTGATGCCAGAGGCTTAATTTTCAGTCTATTTCAGTTTTCCACTGCCTTCTTCACTAAGCCTAATAATTTCTAGCTTTTGATTTAAAGTGGGAGAAGTGTGATTCATTCACTTGAACACTTGGAGCCCACTGTAGGGTTATTAATCAGCCTAATTCAATGTTGCTGTGTCTCAGGAAATAGGAGGGCCCAAGGAGATGGAGAGAGATAGAGGAATGGCCGGTGCAGCAGTAGGAACACACACACATTTATCGATTAAGTTCACTCTTATTTGGGCATGGTCTGTGGAGCCCCAAAACATTTACAATAGAAACACCAAAAATCCCTGATCATGGATCACCATAATAGATAAAAAAAATAGCGGAAAATTTGAAATATTGCAAGAATTACCAAAATGTAAGAGACAAAAAGTGAGCACGATGCTGTTGAAAAAATGGTGCCAACAGACTTGTAGAGCTGCATAAACCTTCCATTTGTAAGAAGCACACTACTGAATGGGGCATGTTGGTTCACACCTGTAATCTCAGCTACTCAGTACGCTGAGGCCAGAAGATCGCTTGAGCCCGCAAGTTTGAGACTAGCCTGGGCAATAATAGCAAAATCCTATCTCTAACAACAATAAAAAAGTGCATTATCTGCAAAGTGCAATAAAACAAGATATGCCTCTACTTGCTAAAATGGTAGTCACGCATTTAATTATTTAAGGAAATTTGGCCAGGCACAGTGGTTCATGCATATAATCCCAGCACTTTGGAAGGCCGAGGTAGGAGGGCTGCTTGAGGCCAGGAGTTCAGGACCAGCCAGGGCAATACAGCAAGACCCCATCTCTACAAAAAATAAATTAGCAATGTGTGGTGGCATGCACTTGCAGTCCCAGCTTTTTGGGAGGCTGAAACAGAAGGATCACTTAGGCCCAGGAGGCTGAGGCTGCAGTGAGCCATGATCACACCACTACATTCCAGCCTGGACGACTGAGCAATATCCTGGTATTAAAAAAAAAAAAGAAAAAGAAAAGAAAAGAAAGAAAAGTCAAGGCACATTTGTCACGCCCTCTATAAAGAAATTATCCTGCGGACATTCCAATTGTACCGTACAGCTGTTAAGGGGATTTGGGTCACACAGTTCTGGAGTCTCAGAACTTAATTAGTTGTTTAACACAAGGTAAGTTGTTACTAAGGCATGGTTTTCTCCTTAGTAAAATTTAGAAATAATTTGTTTAAACATGATTCAAAATTGGCCAGACACAGCGGCTCATTCATGTAATCCCAGGACTTTGGGAGGCTGAAGTGGGTGGATCACCTGAGCTCAGGAGTTCAAGACCAGCCTGCGCAACATGCCAATACCTCATCTCTACCAAAAATACAAAAAATTAGCCAGGCCTTGTGGTACACACCTGTGGTCCCTGCTACTTGGGAGGCTGAGGTTGGAGGATTTCTTGAGCCTGGGAGGTGGAGGTTGCACTGAGCCGAGATCGTGCTACCGTACTCCAACCTGGATGACAGAGTGAGACCTCATCTCAAAAAAAAAAAAAAAAAAAAAAGCTTTTGCAATAATACTATCCTCATAGGGTTCTTGGAACAGGTAAATAATGTTTGCAAAGCATTTAGCATAAGCCTAAGAGGCTAAGTAATGACTATTAATTGCTATTATTATTCTCAATACTATCATTTGCAGGGAGGGGCTCAATTTTCAACAGCTTTGACATATAATTCATACATACACAATTTGCCCGCTTAAAGTAGACAATTTAGTGTTTCTTTTTATATTCAGATATATGCAACCAACACTACGGTCAATTTTTGAACATTTTCATTACCTCAAAAGGAAACCCCTTATCCTTTAGCTACCACTCCCGCATCCACCCTCTATCCCCCAGGACTAAGCAACCACTAATCTACTTTTTGTCTCAAGAATCCCCTCTTCTGGGGCCTGGTACGGTGGCTCCTGCCTGAAATCCCAGCACTTTGGGAGGTCGAGGTGGGCAGATCACTTGAGGTCAGGAGTTCAGGACCAGCCTGGCCAATATCATGAAACAACATCTCTACTAAAAATACAAAAAAAAAAAACCAAAAAATTAGCCAGGTATGGTGACGCACACCTGTAATCCCAGCTACTTGGGAGGCTGGGGCAAGAGAATCACTTGAACCAGGGAGGCAGAGGTTAAAGTGAACCAAGGAGCCAAGATCGCACCATTGCACTCCAGCCTGGGAGAGAGCAAGACTCTGTCCCAAAAAAAAAAAAAAAGAATCTCCTATTCTGGACTTAAAGGAATGGAATTGTATAGTGTGTGGATTTCTGCAACTGACTTTTTTCACTTAGCATGTCTTCAAGATTCATCCATGTTGCGGCTTAATAATATTCCATTGTATGGATATGCTATATTTTTGTTTACGCATTTGTTCACCAAGTTTATTAAACAAACACAAGTCAGATGACCCAAATTTAATTTCACCTGTGTAGATATGTACCTTTCAATTCAACCAGCAAAAGATACAATAAAAAGTTCCTGTTTTTCACAGCCTCCCATCTAGGCAGATGAGAGGTGGGGTCCAGGACAGGCAGACACATGTCAGGTTGTGAGAAATGCTATAGCACAAACAAAACGATACAGGCATACAAGAGAGGTGGAGAAAAAGACTGATTCCAACAATAGGACCAGTAAGGTGTTGGCAGAGAGAATATTTGAGCTGGAGCCAAAAGCAGCAAGCCTTGGAACCACGGTGTGGAAGGCAGGGAAAGCCTTTCTGGAGCACAGAATGAGAGAGAAACAGGAAGGCAGAGAGAGAAACAGGAAGACAGGCCTCTGAATGCCAGGCTCAATGTGTATTTTATTCTACGCGCACTGTGATGAAACTTTTTGAGCAAAGTCACTATAATATTTGTGTTTTTAAGAAAGGCAACACAGGGGCAATGAGTCTCTTGATGAAATCGTTCTATTTTCTGTCCCAAGTTTTCATGCCTGCAAGTCTTGCAACGTCACAAACATTTGCATGGGGAAATCAAGATCCACACCCACTGCTGGAGCTCTGGAAGCAGTTACTATGTACATCTAACATAGGAGTACATCCAACATAGGACTACATTGTTAGCTCCATTCAGCAAAAACAATTCATTCCTTTCTGAGATGGAGTCTCACTCTGTCGTCCAGGCCGGAGTGCAGTAGCACAATCACAGCTCACCACAGCCTTGACCTCTCAGGGTCAAGCAATCCTCCCACTTCAGCCTCCCAAGTAGCTGGGACTACAGGCACATGCCACGACACCCAACTAATTTTTTCAATTTTTTTTTAAAGACAGGGTCTCCCTATGTTGCCCAAGCTGGTCTCAAACTCCTGGGTTCAAGCAATTCTCTCGCCTCAGCCTCCCAAAGTGCCTCCATGCCAGGCCCTGTATTGATTCTTACCAGTGAAAATCAGGCCCTGAATATTCAAAACTAAAATCAAGACTGTTTCTACAAATCCTGCTAATGGAACGTGTTCAGACTCCCAGACTATCCAATATACATAAATGGCAAGAACTTTCTGTCAGGTGTTCTTTGGAACAAGGAGCCATTCTATTAAATAATGGCGGCAGTGGCCACTGGCTACTTTCTTTGAGCACTTAGTAGGACTCCATCCTTGAAAATCAAACACAGGATGAGGTTAACTTCTACTGTGTCCAGGCCCTGCTTGCTTATTGACTTCTAATATTGGTTGAAAACTTCAATTTTCAGTGGAAGATTTGGATCAGCTGAAGCTAGAGGCAGTGACAGATGTACAATAAGGTACCCAAGGTTCTTATCCAAGTTCAAGCCAAAAGAAAAAGGTCAGGAAGAGAGAAGGACCCTGTTTGGAATAGTGACCAGCCACATGTCTAAAGCGGGCTTATATCGGAATGTCACAACTTGTAAGGACTGTTCATTGTGCACTTGTATATGCACACCTGTTTAATAACTACAACATATGTTATGTCCCTTTAGCATATATTCTTATGTCCTTACAAAGCCTTTCTTATACTAGTCTAATGTCATTTGTGTCCTTTTGACATACATGAGCTATTGATACTAGGAAAAATCCCCTCTTGCTCCCCAGTATTTTGACAGGAAATAAACTACATAGAGGATGCCATAAGACATTCTATTTTTCACAACAATCAAATGAGCCAAATGAATTGCAGAAGCCACCATTTTTAATGAGGAAACACTGAATTGGCAAAGCTAATGTGAAATAACGTGTCCTTGAAGATGTCTAGCGCATTTAAGTATGCCAAGCATTAAGAGTTAACTGATCACCAACCATCCAATGACAAAATCAGTCCTCCCTGTTTTGTTTTAGAGACAATCTCGCTCTGTCGCCCACGATGGAGTGCAGTGGTGGATTATAGCTCACTGTAAACTGAACTCCTGGGCTCCACCCATCCTCCTGCCTCAGCCCCCGGAGTAGGTGGGAACACAGGCCCCAAGTCAGTCCTTGACTTTCAGGCCAGGGTCAAATGCTATAGTGCATGTATTCATTTCAACATTTACTGAGTACCTAATAAAGTCTGGGAATAATACAACTTTATTAGCTAAGTCCCTGCCTATGGCAGTAGCGGAGAAGTAAGGCTGGAACCCCTCAACAAATAAATCTAAACCTATCAAATATCAAGTCATGATCTTGGAGGGCGCACGGGAAGGCAGCATAAGAGATTTAGAGGACAGCTGCGGTTACCTAGATCTTTCTGAGGCAGCATAATACAGGGCTTAAGAGTGGGACCCACAGGGCACTGCGGTTGCTCATGCCCAGCACTTCGGAAGAGCTAGACGGGCACATTACTTGAGGTCAGGAGTTCGAGACCAGCCTGGCCACTATGGCAAAACGCCGTCTCTACTAAAAATACAAAAGTTAGCGAGTTTGGTGACCTGTGCCTATAGTCCCAGCTGCCTAAGAGGCTGAGGCACGAGAATCGCTTGAATCCAGGAAGCGGAGGCTGCAGTGAGCCAAGACCGCGCCACTGCAGTCCAGCCTGGGCTACAGTCTTGTCTCCAAAAAAAAAAAAGAGTGTGGCACCCACTGCATCAGGCTGTGCAACTCTGTTTCTTACTAGCTGTAAAACCGTGGCAAGTTACTGGGCCATTTGTGCAAAATGTTAATTGATTTACCAACACTTAAACACAGCTTGCTAAGGGCCAGGCACCGTTCTCCTTGAATCTCACAGCAGCCCTGTAAGGTAGGCACTACTGTTACCACCGTCACTTTGCAGACAGGGAAACCGAGAGATAAAGAAGTTAAGGGATTTCCCCAAAGCCACAGCTAGAAGAGCGGCAGAACTGCGATTCCAATCCATCAGTGTGCCTCCACTACCCCTATTCCTTAACATCGTGCTAAAGGCTGAGTCACTTGCCCTAAGGAGCCCACAACAGTCTCTGGCAGAAAGGAATTCGCACCGGGAAACGCGCCCGCCGCCAACGATCCCCAGAACCGGCGCGGGCACGGTGCGGCGGCCACGAGCTCTGGGCACCGAACCCCAGGCTGGAGGCCAGGGCAGCCGCCTGCCCGGCCACCGGCTGGACAGTGGAGACCTCAGCTGACCGCGAGCCCCCAGCCAGCCCGCCCGCACCCCTTCTCACGCCCACAGGAGCCCGCCACGCCTTTCCCGCCTCACCTCCTCCTCCCTCCATCGCGAGATTTGCAAGTGGGTTGGGGGTGGGGGGAAAAGGAAATGGATCCTACCATCTTCTCGGAGCCGGAGTTGGAAGAAATGAAGAAATAATGCTTTAAGTCAATGAATTCCTCCTTGGTACCCACTATCAGAAACTCTCAATGGTAAAATTTTAAAAACTGACAAATTCAATCTGCTCTTGACTTGTGTGTCCTAAGATTTCCACTAAGTGTCTTCAAACCTCCCCCCACGGCTTCTTGGATAATAGAAGTTCCCGAAGGCCGCCGATTCCAGAAGATACTGTCTGGCGTGAAATTAGTCTCAGTTAAAATGTAAGTCCCGCGCGTCCTGGGCTGCGCGTGCGCAAGCTTTTGGGTCCTCCCGCGAGAGAAAAGTGCGTTCTCGCTTCCGTAGCGGTCTCCGCCGGTTGGGGTAAAGTAACTCTGGCTGCTCCACCATGGCGTCTATGGGGACTCTCGCCTTCGATGAATATGGGCGCCCTTTTCTCATCATCAAGGATCAGGACCGCAAGTCCCGTCTTATGGGACTTGAGGCCCTTAAGGTAATGGCACAGGGACCTGTTCGCGGTGGGCTGAGGGGAGGCGGCCGAGGCCGTGGCTCTGCGCCTGCGCGAGCTTAGGAGCCGCTGTGCCATGTGCTCCGCGGAAAGGTCGAGAATCCCCGTCTCCCGGCGGTCTCCGGCCGCGCATCCGGCTCACTGAGCTCGGGAGAGGCTAGCGCCTAATCCTGGGCTCGGAATGGGGGGCCAGCCAGGCTGGGCCACCAGCGCCCTTCGGAGCTGGGCGGGGCCGCTCAGTCCGGTCGCCCGCGGGAGCGAAGCGGGACCGCCTCCCCGCCCGGCCCCTCCAGCCTGACGGCCGCGTGGGACCGCGCTCCCGTGGGAGGGCGCCGGGGAGATGCTCCGTCACCTGTTGGTTAAGGCGCTGCTGCTTAACCCTGCGCTGGTCCACCCGCGACGGCCCTTCCGTTTTCTTTGTCACTCGTAAAGGTGTGGTCACTTACAGGGTATTTCATTTCTGAGTGCTTTTTTGCCCACCCTTGAGGAAAAATAGCGAAGAGTGAAAAACGGACGCACAAAATCGTAATGCAAGGCGGTGTGCGGTGAGAAGGACAGCCATGGAGAGAGTTCTGATAAGCGTAGTGCTGGAGGACAGCGTTAGATCAGGGGTGAGAGCATTCTAGGGAGAGGAAACGTAGAAGTAAAGGCTTGGGCAAGAATGCGCATGGCACGTTGTAGAGTGGAAGAGCCACCCGGTTTTAATGGAGCACTGAAGCTATTGAATGCCCAGCATGGAAAATACGACGTTATCCTTGGGGAAGAAGGGGAGCCACTGGGGGGGTTTTGAGCAGAATTTAAGTAGAGCTGCACTTCAGGCAGCAACGCTTGAGATGGACCAAAGGGAATAAGGAAGCCCAAAGGGGTTAAAGAAGCCAGGGCAGGGGTGCAGGTAAGAAAGGGTCATCTGAGCACCAGATGTTGACAGAAAATGCAGAGGAAGGGACACTCCGAGAGGGCCTTCAGGGTTTGTTATAAAGTGAATTCCTAATGGACCGTTCCACCAGGTCTCAGGTGTCCCTGTTCACTTAATGTCTTGGAGGTTGACTTACGCAAAGTGAGAAACAATACAGTTCCCCCATGGACTCTTTGTTTGACTTAGCGCAAGTTACACAACGTCTCGGAACCTCCTTTTCCAGTGGAGGTGATACGCCTCCATAAAGCTGAAGACTTGACAGTGATGTTCAATGGAGTGACTTAGAGGGGCTGCACAGTGGGTGATCCATGGCAGGCACTCAGTATTTGTTTCCTTTCTAGAAAGAAAAAAGTTTCAAGCTACTTGTATTATGTATCCTGTTTTATTTTTCACTTACAGGGACCTGCAGGGAAAGTAACATCCAGTACACACACGCAGTATAACAACATAACTAAAGCTATAGGTTGTTTTGCATCAGCCATTTTGTTCTAACTGCATGCATTTGTGCCCAGAAGTCTCACACTCTGAGATAGTTGTTGTTTTTCCAAAACTGGGGACTTGGGCCCAGAGCAGTTGAGAAATTGTTCTAAAGAGCAATTGCAAGCCAAGATCAGCACCATGGTTCAAGGCCACCTCTCGAAGTCAAAGCCAGTGGTCTAGAGCAGCATTCTCAAGCTTGACATTATTGACATTCGAGGTCGGATCATTCTTTGTTGTGGGAGCTCATTTGGACAGTAACGTGGGTGTTTAAATCTCTTTGGATGCTGTGGGTAGGCATCCTTTGAGTGTTGAGGCTCAGCAGTGTAGGGATATACACTTGCTCCCTGACCTCATAAAACGTCCAGCTAACTTGAAGAACCAAAATATATAGAAATTGAAGGCAACAGTGAAAGAAATGTATGGGCCATGACTTGAACGTTTTGATGGTAATGGTCACGGTTCTTTTTCTCTGGTCATTTAGAGCCTTAAAGGTAGTATGTATTTTGTTGAGATTCTTCAGTTGTTTAACACTTAGCTGTATAACATTTCACCTTAAAAATGTAGGCATTGACCACGCGCGGTGGCTCAGGCCTGTAATCCCAGCACTTTGGGAGGCTGAGGCGGGTGGATCACAGGATCAGGAGTTCGAGACCGGCCTGACCAACATGGTGAAACCCCGTCTCTACTAAAAATACAAAAATTAGCCGGGTGTAGTGGCATGCACCTGTAATCCCAGCTGCTTAGGAGGCTGAGGCAGAAGAATCGCTGGAACCTGGGAGGCGGAGGTTGCAGTGAGCCAAGATCATGCCACTGCACTCCAGCCTGGGTGACAGAGCAGGACTGTGTCTCAAATAAAGAAAAAAAAAGTGCAGGCATTAGTTGGCTTAGGAAGGAGTCATATTCTAAAACCGTATAATCTAAAACAGAGCAGGCTAAGTTTCCAGGCCAGCCAGCATAATTCTGTTTTGTCCATAGTATGTATTATGGCTTGATGTTTAGACTCTTCCCTCTGGAAACACCCAGAACTGGCAGAAGGAAGAAAAAGACTTTTTCCACTTTACTGTGCAGTAGAGCAAAATATATCTCGGGATTTTGGGATCTCTCCTATTTGCCAAATTCTTTACATCCTTTTCTTTCTGCCTCTTGCTTTCTCCTAAAAAAATAATAATAATAATAATTTCACTCAATTTGGTAGCTAAATGTGAAAAAAAAAAAGACAGGTAACTTTTTTATTATCACTTTGACAGCTACTTCACCTTCCTTAAGAGGGCCAATTGCGGGCCAGGCGCGGTGGCTCACGCCTGTAATCCCAACACTTTGGGTGGCCAAGGCGGGTGGATCACCTGAGGTCAGTAGTTCAAGACCAGCCTGGCCAACGTGGCAAAATCCTGTCTCTACTAAAAATACAAAAAAAAAAAAAAAAATGAGCCAGGTATGATGGCACATGCCTGTAATCCCAGCTACTAGGGGGCTGAGGCAGGAGCATCGCTTAAGCCTGGGAGGCGGAGGTTGCAGTGAGCCAAGATCATGCCACTGCACTACAGCCTGGGCAACAGAGCAAGACTCCGTCTCAACAACAACAACAAAAAAAAGCCAGTCACTAACTTTGATCTATAAGTATAATTATTGGGATTTCAGGTGGGTGGAGGAAGATTTTTAAAGCAAGAACATTTTTTCTTTTTATTTTGTAACGGGGTCTCATCATGTTTCCCAGGCTGATCTCAAACTCCTGGCCTCAAGCAATCCTGCCTCAGCCTCCCAAGTAGGTGGGGTTACAGGTTCTAGCCACCGCACCCAGCTCAAAAGATTATAACTCTGCAGTAAATCCAGTAAATCATAGTGTGACAATGAGGTGTTGTATGTTTACAGTTGGACTGTTTCTCATGAGTACAGGCCCCTTCTTATCTGCAGATGTGGAACCCACAGATATAGAAGCCTGGATGCAAGGAACTTGAGCATCTATAAATTTTGGTGTCCTCAGGAGCTCCTGAAACCAGTTCCCCATGGATGCTCAGGGAGGACTGTGTTGCACAGTGATCTTGCAAGGCCTGTAAGGTCATGGTCATACTGTCCCTGTTCTCAGCTGTAAATGAGCTGGTAAAAGAATCTGTCTCATTAATGTGTTGAAAATTCAGTGAGATAACACAAAGCACTTAGTTCTTTTTCTTTTATATAAGAATTGCTTATTAAAACTGGAGTTATAAATGTTATAATACTTAGACCTGTCTGTTGCCCCTTAAATGTAGAAGCTTCTAGAAAACAGAAACTAAATCGTAAGTGATTTTTAATCATCAGATATGTGCTTTTAACCATTGAAATTGTATGTAACAGTATTTGCTTTTTCTGTTTGTTTCATTAGTCTCATATAATGGCAGCAAAGGCTGTAGCAAATACAATGAGAACATCACTTGGACCAAATGGTAAGAGTCCACCATTCCATGTTTTTAGCAAAAGATTTAAATTATAAAACTGTCAATACAAACCTCTCTACAGAAAGGTGGAGTATTGAGGGCAGCATGTTACTTCCTTAACACAGCGAAAATTTTGTAGTGTATCTCAGGTTTCTCAAACATGGTTATAATCGCGTGTAGTTTTAGGTCGGGCCTTTTTTTTTTTTTAACACGTTTAATATCATTTCATTAGCATTTTCCAAATCATAGTTGTCTTGAGATTAATACTATACTTAATGATGCTCCATAATTTTTTGCCATTTGCATTAGCCAATCTCAAAATGCCTTCATGCAGCTATTATTTTGTGTATGTTGAAATATTTGCATATAATAAATTGCATAGATAAGAGCTGGGTGCAGAAGTCTTTTTTTATAGTTTGTGATACTGGTTGCCAGTTGTTTGCCCAAAGCCTACTGAATGTTGTCTTTTTAGGGCTTGATAAGATGATGGTGGATAAGGATGGCGATGTGACTGTAACTAATGACGGGGCCACCATCTTAAGCATGATGGATGTTGATCATCAGATTGCCAAGCTGATGGTGGAACTGTCCAAGTCTCAGGATGATGAAATTGGAGATGGAACCACAGGAGTGGTTGGTAAGAAAAGACAAAACATCCTTCCTTTCTCTTTTAAGAGATGTCATTTAAGACCACAGGGCTAACATGCCTGCCGAGATTGTTATCTCTGAATCAGAGCTTGAGGAGACAGACAAATTCAAGTTGAGGAACACACTACAAAACAAATGCCCGGGACTTTCAAAACTGACAGTGTTAGAAAAGAATAGAAAGAGGGCTGGGGATTGTTAGGCAAAGAGAAATCTGTAATGATTGATTGGACGCTGATTTTGTTTGTCTTTTAAGCTGTAAAAGAGGTTTGGAAAAAGTGGAGGAATTTGATTATGGATCATGTACTACAATGCTGAGTTTCCTGAGCGTGACCGCTGTATTGCATATGTGTAGGAGAATACCCTTATTCTCAGCTGTATGCCTCAATACTTAGGAGTGACATGTCATGGTTTCTGCAACTGATTCTCAAATAGGTGAACAGAAACAGTATGTACATGTAGAGAAAATGTGGCAAAATGTTAATAAGTAAACTGGTACTCATTTTAGTATTGTACCTTGTGTTTTGTAGATTTGAAATCTTTAAAAAGTTGGGGAAATTGAAGACAAAATATCAGTAATGTTCTTTTCTGCAGATAAAATTTGAATTCATTCATTCAGCAAATATTTATTGGATACCATTGTATGCCAGGCACTGTTCTCGGTGCGCTTGGAGAGTGGTAGATTTAAACAAAATTCATCTATGTGACCCTAAAATGAGGAGAAAGGAGGATGGGGGTGGGGGGAATAAATAATAAACAAACGTTTTAGTCTTATCACCAGGATGAATTTTACTGAATAGACCTTGGCCCATGAAACATAATAGCTTTTTACCTCTTAGAAAAATGTTCTTTTTACATTATATTCTTTAGTTACATTGTTTACATCACTGAGGGTTGAATGTTCGTCTATAAGGGGACACGTGTCCTATTAGACCTTTGCTAGAACCAAAACAAGAGGCTTTCTTTTAAAAATAGATAGCTTCTGCCTCTAAGATGACTTCCAGCTTAATTCTGGAAGCTTTTTCTTTCCGTGACAGCATCTAACTTGTGCTGATTATACTAAAAGTGAAGTTTTGTTGTTTTCCTAAACTGATTGTCTGCTGGTTTGTTTGCAGTCCTGGCTGGTGCCTTGTTAGAAGAAGCGGAGCAATTGCTAGACCGAGGCATTCACCCAATCAGAATAGCTGATGGCTATGAGCAGGCTGCCCGCGTTGCTATTGAACACCTGGACAAGATCAGTGATAGCGTCCTTGTTGACATAAAGGACACCGAACCCCTGATTCAGACAGCAAAAACCACGCTGGGCTCCAAAGTGTACGTTTCAGTAGACGATACAATCACACATTTGTAGAGGCAGCTTGTTTGCCATCTCTTAAAGGCAGCACAAAATGACCACTGGTGGATTTGTGTTGATTTGATTTCTTGCAGTTACTTGGTTTTGCTTTGTTTTTATTGTAGATGCAGATATATGCATTTTGTATTGTAGTTGAGAACTGAATTTCTAAGTTCATGCATAAATCCCCTTGACAGTATTTGCAAAATATAGTTATTTTAATTTAGCAGAATAGATTGTGTTAAAAATCAGTCAGGGCTGGGTGCAGTGGCTCCTACTTGTAATCTCAGCACTTTAGGAGGCCAAAGCAGTAGCCTGCTTGAGCTCAGGAATTCAAGACCAGCCAGGGCAATATAGTGGGACCCCATTGCTACAAAACATAAAAAACCAGCCAGGCATGATAGTGCACTCCAGAGGCTGAGGTGAGAGGTTGAGGCGCAGCAAGCCATGATCATACCACTGCACTTCAGTTTGAGCAACAGAGCGAGATCCTGTCCCAAAAAAAAAAAAAAAACTAGAAAGGGTCCTACCTGGAAGATACGTGAATTTTCTTTTTTCCTTTTTTTTTTTTTTTTTTTTTTTGAGACAGAGTCTTGCTCTGTCGCCCAGGTTGGAGTGCAGTGGCGCAATCTCCACTCACTGCAAGCTCCACTTCCCGGGTTCACACCATTCTCCTGCCTCAGCCTCCTGTGTAGCTGGGACTACAGGCGCCCGCCACCACGCCCGGCTCATTTTTTTTTTTAATGTATTTTTAGTAGAGACGAGGTTTCACCGTGTTAGCCAGGATGGTCTCGATCTCCTGACCTCATGATCCACCCGTCTCGGCCTCCCAAAGTGCTGGGATTACAGGCGTGAACCACCGTGCCCAGCCAGGATATGTGAATTTTCATAACACTTTCTATAATTTCTTTGCTGGGGAGCCACTGGGGTGGGTTCTTCTTTTTATTCAGCAAATTGCCGATCCAAAATTACAATTTAGTAAAGAGAGTCTTGAAAGTGACTTGTCTCTGGTGTTTTCAGTGTTTGCATACTACCCGTTTGCCAGGCTTACTGCCAGGTCTTTTGGGCACTGAGACACAGCTCTCCCCCAGGAGACTCTAGGCAACCTCAACCAAGGGGTGCACTGATGATGAACCATGACAAAGATTTGAGGTCTGTTGCCATAATGTAACAAAAATCCAGTGTAAGCTGCTTTATGGCATTATATTAAGTCAGTGAGGTTTTCAATTGTGTGCTTGTGGTGGTTATAGCAAAAAGGAAGGAGGGGTCTTCTCAACTCAGAGTAATCAGAGAAAATGTAGGAAAAGTGTCTGCTTCTGTTGCCTTTTCCCCTGAGCAAAGCCTGTGTTAAGGCAGAAGCCTTCAGCAGTGCCTGCTGTCCTCCTCTAACCACAGATCTCAGCAGAGACTAGCTCCCTAGGCAAGAGTGAGTACTCTACGGGTAGCCTCTGTCATAAGTGTAACACTATTTTCTCATGAAAGGGGGACAACATCATTACTTGAAGTGTACAAATCTATTGTTGCTTTATAAGTTGGCCCCGTTCTGTTTGCGAGTATTAAGTCGTCTGCTTAAGATAAAACGTTTACTTTCATGCTTCTCCTTTATAGATAATCTACGATTTCAGACATTATTTCAAGTGCTAGGTTTCCCTAGTTGTTTTTCTTGACTCTAAAATGAATTTATTGAGCAGTCTATTCACATGTTTGAAAGCTTTCAAAAAGGTAACATCCTCCATCTGTAACAGATGTTGTGGTGAATTCTTAGAAAGTGAGCAGCCCTGTCCAGTCCTTTCACCTCCAGATTAGTGCTACGCTTCATTGATATAAGACTGACTTTTCCTGAGTGATTACTTACCTTTCTCATTCTGTTCTGAACTTGTGAAATAGTAACAGTATTCTGTAGAAGTCGTGCATTCTAAGACCTTAGTTCATGCCAGACTACAGTGGTTTCTTGAGTACATTCATAATGGAAGGCAATAGTAAATTTCAGAGTTAGCGAAAATAAAGATGTGATTTTTTTCCCCATAAAAGTACACGGTCCCCTTTGGGGTTCATGGATCACAGGTTAAGAATCTCTGCCCCAACCTGTTGAAAATGCAGGTTGAGATGGCATTCCCTTCTAGAAGACTTAAAATATCATTTGATTTATATCTTTGAGTAACATTGTATCATGTGGCCTGCTTTGGTTGTAGTAGTTGTGAAACCAGTGAAGTTTGTTTTGTGTTTTCATCAGGGTCAACAGTTGTCACCGACAGATGGCTGAGATTGCTGTGAATGCCGTCCTCACTGTAGCAGATATGGAGCGGAGAGATGTTGACTTTGAGCTTATCAAAGTAGAAGGCAAAGTGGGTGGCAGGCTGGAGGACACTAAATTGATTAAGGGCGTGATTGTGGACAAGGATTTCAGTCACCCACAGATGCCGAAAGTAAGCCATTGCATTTCACAGCTTCGCACTGTTGGTGAACTCTTAATTCCACCAATTAAAATGTCTTTATGTTCCCCCATAGAAAGTGGAAGATGCTAAGATTGCAATTCTCACGTGTCCATTTGAACCACCCAAACCAAAAACAAAGCATAAGCTGGATGTGACGTCTGTTGAAGATTATAAAGCCCTTCAGAAATACGAAAAGGAGAAATTTGAAGAGATGATTCAACAAGTAAGACTTACCAGAGTCCTCAGTGGAATTTAAACTCCCAAAGGGTACAATTAGTTAGGTTTGGTTAGTAAATATGTGTAGTCTTTCTTCAGTTCTAAAACATACACAGGAAAAAAATCACATACAAAAGCATAAACAGGGAAAAATTCTGATTTTGTCTTAAAATGGTAGCGTGTTCAGGCAGGGTGTGGTGGCTCACGCCTGTAATCCCAGCACTTTGGGAGGCCAAGGCAGGCTGATCGTGAGGTCATCGAGACCGTCCTGGCTAACACGGTGAAACCGCATCTCTACTAAAAATGCAAAAAATTAGCCAGGCGTGGTGGCAGGCACCTATAGTCCCAGCTACTCGGGAGCCTGAGAAAGGTGAATCGCTTGAACCCAAGAGGCAGAGGTTGCAGCAAGCTGAGATCGCACCATTACACTCCAGCCTGGGTGACAGACCGAGACTCCGTCTCGAAAGGTAGTATGTTCAGGGTCCTGAAAGAAGTGACCCTGTTACCTAAAGCCATGTTTTCAATTGTACATACTATATTTGCTCTACTGGACAAATTGAATGTAGCTTACCTTAAGATTTCTGACTGTACATTTTAGACAAGAGTTAATGAGTAACTGGAGTTAAACCAGAATACACTTAGAGTAATCCCAGTTCTTCGCTCGGTTAAGTCTAGTTTGGGTTATGAATACCTTAGCATAGGTGTGCTTTCTCTCTGACCTACCAACTCCTCTTTGGGGGCTGTGTCCTTGGGAGTTGAAAACACCGGTACTCAAGAAGACAGGAACGTGTTGGTTAGAGCGTTATTTATCATAGCAAACCAACTAGAGACGATTTTCATGTCTGTTCCTGGGAAAGTCATTGTACTTACTCATTGATGATACAGTTCTTTGTGCCTACAACGTACCAGGCTCTGTTGTAGGCATTAAAAGTGCAGCAGGGAATGAAGCCAAGCTTGTGCTCTTGAGGCACAAATAGGGGAAAGATGGGTACAGCTCCATTACAGACACTGGTCAGAAGACGTGACCTGTAAGGAGAGGCCAACATTGAGTGAGAGCAGCGCCCCTAGGGGAGGAGCATTCCAGGCTGAGGACAGAAGGGGATGCTGTTGAGCTAGGAACGTGTTGGCTTCTACAAGGAACAGCCACCCTCAGGGATTGGAGCATGCTGGCAGGAGCTTATGCATAAAAGGCCATCAGTGGTCATGAGAATGGTGGCTCAGCTGCGCTGGCAGGTCAGAGATAAACTGAGAGGCCAGGGATGTTACTGGATCATGCTGGTGAGGCGCAGGTTGCTGAGAATGAGAAAGGAAGGGGGATGGGGCTAGATGCTAAAAATGTTAAAGAATGAGAGGCAGGGACCCAAAGAGGAACATTGTAGGTGACTGAGGAGCAAGAAGGACCCCTCTCCTGTTTTGAGCACATGAGAGGGAAAGCAGCTGCCATCTGAGGAGGGTTGCAGGTGCAGGCTGGTTTTCAGGGGTTGTATAAGGACGCTGCTGTTCTGGACTGAGTTCAGAGGGTCAGGGAAGGAAGAGAGGGAGAGCCAGGCAGTAGCAGGTGGTCTGGGAGGCCTGATGGAGACAGGTGAGAGTTGTTGGGCATGGTGTGGCAGTCCCAGGTGAGCACCAGAGGTGGGGTGGGCAGCCGGATCATTTCCCTCCTATTTGGGAAAAGTCACTTTGCCCTTTGCAGGTCGGGGTGAGGGTGCTCCTTACGGGAAGCAGGGTCGCCTCTGTGGGCACCTGATATAGTTTGTATCTATGGATCCACTGAGGATTGTCCAAGTGAGATGGGCAGGTTGCAAGTGGTTCATAGCATTGTGTGTTTAAAACATACTCAGATGAAACTACTCCGTAGGTATTGGTGACAGGACAGAGCTGTTAGCCATTTCCCCCGTGGTTGGGAAGGGTATTAGCTTTGTTGACATTTCTGTTGACTTCGCATCGTTTTAACAATAGGGTTCAGCATGAATTACTACTTGTGGTTTTTAAAGCATCTTTAGACAATGAGGTGATCCCCATTGATAAAATACTCACTATTTAGAATTTGGAACTGACAGAAAAGTGGACACTTGTCTATTTCCTTCCTTCTCTTTCCTTTGGTTTTGTGTTCAAGTGCACATGCCTTACACCCAATTGTGCCTCTCCTTTTTTCAAACGTTATAGCGAAGAATAAATACCCACTTTCTCTTAATACGATTGCGGTGTTTCTTTTCCCAGATTAAAGAGACTGGTGCTAACCTAGCAATTTGTCAGTGGGGTTTTGATGATGAAGCAAATCACTTACTTCTTCAGAACAACTTGCCTGCGGTTCGCTGGGTAGGAGGACCTGAAATTGAGGTAGGTTGCTCCACATGAGGAGACTTTGAGATGTAGGGGTTCAGCTTATGTGTTGAGGGGTGTTTTGATAGCCCTGCCTTAAATAACTGCATCATACCGCAGCTGGGAGATGAGGGGAGGGTGAGCTGGGAGAGAGGAAAGCGCTGGAGTCTTTGTTACTGTTTGGTTAACAGTGCTGTGTGTTTCTGGTGTTCCCTGGCATGTTGAAATTCTCTCCCTGTGTTGTCTCACTTGGCCCTATCGTTGACTTACTAAGGCTGGAAGACCTGGTCTCATCCAGATACTAACGGCAGTCCCAGGCAATGCTGCCTTGGTGGTTCTCACTGCAGCACAGTGCAAGGAACATGCAGTCTGGGTTCCCAGAGAGAGGGAGGGCTGCGCAGAGGGGAGATGAGGGCATGAGCTTAGGGGATGGGCGCAGGGTGATAGATCCGGGCAGCACCAAAGCCCCAGATCAAGACGCCCAGCTCCTCAAGAGCCTTGTTACCTAACAAGGTTCTTTGGGTTGAACTTAAGATGTTTTGGCCAAAGTGGGGCAGCAATTCTAGTGAACAAGGTGGTCTTAGATCAAGTTTTGCTCATTTGTGCCCGGTTTTGAAAGTTAACTTCACCAGTACTGTCTTCGTCCTTCTCCCTGACCACCCCGATTAGCTGATTGCCATCGCTACAGGAGGTCGCATCGTCCCCAGGTTCTCAGAGCTCACAGCCGAGAAGCTGGGCTTTGCTGGTCTTGTACAGGAGATCTCATTTGGGACAACTAAGGATAAAATGCTGGTCATCGAGCAGTGTAAGAACTCCAGAGCTGTAACCATTTTTATTAGAGGAGGAAATAAGATGGTGAGAATTCAACTATTTGTCCTATACTATTGCTTATTTTGCTTCATGGTCTGGTTTTTTTGCCTGTATATATTTAACAGAGACACAGTCACCCTAAGAAAAATAATCATGTTTCTCAAACAATGATGTATCATGGTTAATTTCACGAGGCACATTTGCCTTTCTGCTGTCCTTATAGTGTACAATATACGCTATGAGATTTTTATATCTTTTTAAATACTTAAACACAGTTTAAATATTCAAGTCTTGGATTTTAGAATGTTGGGTACAATTACCTTAGGGGTTGGTTAAACTGCTAATCCTAGCAACATAAGATTCATTTTAATAACAAATTACAATATGGTATTCCCAAGGATGACTTACATCTGTCCCTAAGGTAGAAAAAGGGAACCCAAGTGAATAACCATCGATGATCTCTGTTCTTTGAGAATGAGTTGTAGCACATTGTGATAAATCTTTGCGAGGTTTGTCGGTTTTTGACTCTTGCTGAACCGTGTATCCTAGAATGAGTCACTGGCCACCTCTGCCTCTTGAATTTTATTAACTACGTTACAGGAAGGAAAGCTAGAAAGATACAGATCATCCGATAGTGGAGGCCATCTAAATATTAGAGCACAGCCTGTCTGTCTTTAAAAAGGTGCCAGATACTTGCCTCTAAATTGAATAGATCTTGATCACATTAATTTAGGCAAAGCTGTTTTCCTTAGATCATTGAGGAGGCGAAACGATCCCTTCACGATGCATTGTGTGTCATCCGGAACCTCATCCGCGATAATCGTGTGGTGTATGGAGGAGGGGCTGCTGAGATATCCTGTGCCCTGGCAGTTAGCCAAGAGGCGGATAAGGTAAGGGATATGTGCAGACTTAGTGAAAGACTCGGGCCTCGCCGATAGTGGAGGCTGTGAGGCTGCAGAACAGCGAGGTGCTGGATGCAAAACGAACAAAAGCATCGTGAGCTGTGTGTAGGTGACAGATGTTTTAATCTAAGTTAATTCCCATGTTCCTGTATTCAGATTCAGGTTACCATAAACTAGCATTTCTCAGCTGTTTTCAGCCAGTTCATTCTTAAAATAATAAATCTCTGGTCTTTTAATGTTATGTGAAATTCAAAATTAGTAGTATAACTTAAAGATAAGTCGTAAGAGCTGCTGTATTTTGAGACATCTCTCATGTATGTATACCCTCTGCCCGTATTCTGTAGTGACATTATAATATTCTGGTAGATACAGAAATAGAGACAGCCTATTCTTTTTTTTTTTTTTTTTTTATTAAGCTCTAGGGTACATGTGCATAACGTGCAGGTTTGTTACATATGTATACTTGTGCCATGTTGGTGTGAGAGACAGCCTATTCTTAAAAGTCTTTGTGAGCTGACTTTTCCAAGTATGTGATACAGTGTGTTTTCAAGGTGCTGCTCGGTTGTTTTGTTTTGCCAAGTGCACTTACCATACCTCCGCACCTTTCCAGTGCCCCACTTTAGAACAGTACGCCATGAGAGCGTTTGCCGACGCGCTGGAGGTCATCCCCATGGCCCTCTCTGAAAACAGTGGCATGAATCCCATCCAGACGATGACCGAAGTCCGAGCCAGACAGGTGAAGGAGATGAACCCTGCTCTTGGCATCGACTGTTTGCACAAGGGGACAAATGGTGAGGAGCTGTCACACCTCTGCATGGGGTGTCTGATTTAAACTGAATAATCATCCACTGTGTGTACTGTGAGATGATGGTATCTTTTTAAATATGTAAACCCACTTCAGGTGTTCAAATCCTGGATTTTAGAATGTTTGATTGATTGCCATAGGAATTGGTTAGACTACTAGACCTAGCAACATAAGACTCATTTTAATAACAGTAAACTACATATGGTACTATCACCAAAGATGACTTAGGTTTTAATCTCTGGTTTTTGGGAAGTAATGCCATATTGCTGTTTTTACACAAATGTCTGTCAGTGGACAGCGTATAAAACAGCTCTGAAGTGGGCTTTAGTTCACAGTTCACTGTGTGGTTAATCCAGCACACTGTGGAGTGTTTTCTAAATGTAATACTATAACCTCTGTAGCCCAGCTCCCAAAAAGATATGGTGACTGTAGCTTGTTGAAACAGTGGTCCCAGGCATTTCTGTACTGAATCAGGCCATGTCTGTAATCCATCCACAGAATGTGACAGTTTGTTTTTGCTTAAAAGTATAGGTGGTACATTCTGCTTTCCATGCCCATATCCCAAGAGTTTCAATAATAGCAACTCTTTGTGAGGCAAATATTTAATGTTTCTAACTTGAATGCTTGGTTGTGCTCAAATTTAGCATTTCTAGGGCCGGGCTCAGTGATTCATGCCTGTAATCCCAGCACTTTAGGACGCCAAGCTGGGTGGATCACCTGAGGTCAGGAGTTTGACACCAGCCTGACCAACATGGTGAAACAGCATCTCTACTAAAAATATAAAAATTAGCTGGGCCTGGTAGCGGATGCCTGTAATTCCAGCTACTCAGGAGGCTGAGGCGAGGCAGAGGTTGCAGTGAGCCGAGATCACACTATTATACTCCAACCTGGGTGACACCTGTCTCCAAAAAAAAATTAGCATTTCTAGATCTTTCTTGGAAATATCTTACATTTCAGCTATGGTCGGATTCACTTACTTTAGATTTCCTAAGTTAGGGTATGGTTACTTTGTGGGATAAGATGTTACTGAAAATTTTCATCCTGTAGCTAGTCATTGAAGAAAGCCCCCTCTCAACAGCTCCCTCTACCAGGTTCGAGTTCCAGAGTGTCATTGGAAATAATGAAATTACATTCATCTGAAAATGAAATAGAACTGAAATTAGTGGCCTTCTGCTTGGCTTCCAGGAGCTTGTATTTCTTAAGTCTTACTGTGATTCCATAAACCAGAAAGTCAGAGCTGGTTATTGATAGTTTATTGTATGCTATTTTAGGATAATCAATTTCCTTGTATTTTTCAGATATGAAGCAACAGCATGTCATAGAAACCTTGATTGGCAAAAAGCAACAGATATCTCTTGCAACACAAATGGTTAGAATGATTTTGAAGATTGATGACATTCGTAAGCCTGGAGAATCTGAAGAATGAAGACACTGAGAATATATGTAGTAAGATCCACTTCTCTGATTAAGTAAATGGATGTGTTGTGATGTGTCTACAGTTATTTATTGTTACATCCTTTTCCAGACACTGTAGATGCTATAATAAAAATAGCTGTTTGGTAACCATAGTTTCACTTGTTCAAAGCCGTGTAATTGGGGTACTATCTCAACATGCTTTTGTATTCATTGTATTAAAAGAATCTGTTTAAACAACCTTTATCTTCTTTTCAGGTTTAAGAAACATTTATTGTAACAGTAATTAAATGCTGCCTTAATTGAAGGGGTTTGGGTGGATTTTTTTTCCCCCTCAAAATAAGCTGTAGGGACTATTTTAACAGCTTAAACATGAGCTGTCAAGATGGACTTTCGTATTGAGAGGAATATGGGCTTGATCCTCTTCCTATCTAAATGGGTGGGCCCTTTGTAGAGGGTCCACCACAGAATTACGGGATGCCTTAAGTGCTGTTACTAGGTTGCTCACAGCCTAACCGAGGATATTGTTTAGAGCTGATGGAGACCCATGTGAGCCTTTGCTTTCCTCTGACCCTGGCCCCACCCTGAACACAGCTTATGTGCAGAATCAGAAGCAGCATGTGCAGAGCTGACCACCAGCACAGGCTTAGGGCAGTTCAGAACCCACTTGTTTTCCTATCAGAGGGACACGGTAAGTGGAGGTTAAAGTAAATTACAGGAAATAAGGGAGAAATCTTGCAGTTACTATGTTCAGATAGAGTGACTGAAATTAATTGTGCTTACTAAAGTAGTACTGGCTAACAGTGTTGGGCCAAGACATGCTCTGAGAACTCTACACAACCCAGTGAGGCAGATACCCTTTCCTACTGCTCACATCTTACAGGTGAGTACTAATAATTTGCCAGCATCTCACCACCAGCAAGTAGTAGGGCCAGGTCAATCCCAGGCAGTCTGACCCCAGAGTGGCCCAGCTCATCCCCTACCCTATTCTGCTATTTGCTTGTGATTCTCTAGATTTTCTAAAATAGTGTTTCTTAAAGAGCATCGTGATGATAAAGCTCAACGTGATGAACTTTATCACTAGTTATGCCACCTTAACTAGTCAGATTCCCTAGAATTAGGAAGTGGTAACTCTTGTCTAAATTTGCTTAAGTGATTAATTTGGGTTACCCTCTCATGTGAACCTGGAGATTTCCCAGTCGTAACTATTGGGTCATTGTGTTTTCTCTGTACATTCATGCATTGGATGTTTTGCTAAATAACGCCTGTGGATTTAGGAATGTGTGCTAATAATTGCATTCTTCCTAATTTTCACGTTTATATGGAACTAGGCAGTTAAGTATTGAAAGCGTTAAACTGAGTTTATTTACAAGGACTGATTCTAGCCTACAGAGAACGTACGGCAGCCTTCTTTGGACCAGAGTCTTATCTGAGGGGTCCGTGGTTGTATCAGAAGAGCCATAAACCAATCCCCCTTTCCAAAATTGAACCTCACAGACATTCCTGGTGTTTTTTTTGTGGTTGAGAAACTGGTCAACGAACAGAGAAACTTAGAGATGTTTTAGAAGCCTTTCATGTTTAATGAGTTTCATTTGTTGATTTGTACTAAACCTCTTCCAGGTGATGTATTTTATCTTTCACATTCCAAATCACTCAAGTTTGATTTTGCTGGTACTTTGGCCACACCCTCTCCTTCCCCATGTGGAGCAAAAGCAACTTAGGGTGCTTGACCCAAAGGCTAGATTCCCATGTAAGTCCCCATGTTTTACTGCTGGTTCCCAATTTCTACACATGCTAGATTCATTGGAGGTTTGTTCAATGTCATGTTTTTAATTTCAGCCTACTCAATCTCCATGTGGGGGTGGTTCCAGGATGTCCTGCAGGTGCCAAATTTCATGGATGCTCAAGTCCCTGATAAAAATAATGTGGTATTTGCATATAACATACATCCTCCTGTATACTTTAAATCATCTTATTATTCATAATACCTAAGGTAAATGATATGTAAATATACTGTATTTAGGAAGTAATGACAAGAAAAATCTACATGTTCAGTACAGATGCAGTTTTTTTCCCTGAGTGTTCTCAACCTGAGGTTGGTTGAATTCAGATGAGGGTCAACTCTGTAAGCAGCTGCTGTGAAGCACAAATGCCACTGGGAGGGCTGAGAGGCCCGTCTTTCTTTTACATGGGACTGAATTTCTTGAATCTCATTTTCTTTCTGTAGGTGAAACAGCTGCAACAGATTAGGGGTTGGGGGGCCAGAGGAAGGTGACATGGTAATAATTGACTAATCAGTAATTTGTAAGCATGGAGAAGTTTCTCCAACGTAGGTGTTTCTTGCAGGCAGCCTTGGCAGGACGGGGTCATCTAAAAGCACCAGAAAAGTGGGGACCAAAGGCAAATGCCCGAGAAAGTGTTGCAGGGCAAGAAAAGTGGGGAAAACAGGACAAAGTAGTAAAGATGTAAATGTGTGTGCCCTATCACTGCTCTAAACGGTTTATGTACATTAAAACTGGTTTTCAAAGTCTGCTCCATGGATCCCTCGGGGTCCAGGGCCCTTTCGAGGGGCCCACGAGGTCAGATGTATTTTCCTACACTAAACTTACTGCCTTTTTCACTGTGTTGACATTTGCACTGATGGTGCAAAAGCAATGACCATTAAAACCACAGCTTAGTGTGAGTCAGGCAGCGGCATCATACGCTTTCAAAAAGAAAATCATTTTTTTGGCCAGGCGCAGTGGCTCACGCCTGTAATCCCAGCACTTTGGGAGGCTGAGGCAAGAGGATCACTCTAGCCCAGGAGTTAGAGACCAGCCTGGGCAACACAGACCCTGTCTCTACCAAAAATAAGTTAGCTGGGCCTGGTGGCATGCTCGTGTGGTCCCAGCTACTTGGGAGACTAAAGTGGGAGGATCCTTTTGAGCCCAGGAGGTTGAGGGTGCAGTGAGCCATGATCACACCACTACAATCCAGCCTGAATGACAGAGCAAGACACTCTCTCAATAATAAAGGATGAATCTTTGACATTGCATAATGAAATGTGTCAACAACTGGAAGATCTGCTCACTAGACCAATATTTGCCAAATATGCATATGATGTTACAGTGTCATGCACAGGTATAAGACCTTTTCAAAATGCAAGATGGACCAGTGTGACAGAAGAAAGTGTATTTAGTCTATCACTTGCTTGGTTTTGGTGTAATATTGAAGAATATCCAGTTTTGTGAAAGGCAATTAAAATACTACTCTTTTCCAACTATGTATCTGTGTGGCCAGATCTTCATATTCCAGAACATGCTGTGGCTAGGCACAGTGGGTCATGCCTGTAACCCCAGCACTTTGGGAGGCTGAGGCAGGAGTATCGCTTGAGCCTAGGAGTTTGAGACCAGTCTGGGCAACAAAGTGAGACTCTGTCTCTACAAAAAAAAATTTAATTAGCAGGGCGTGGGGATGTGTGCCTATAGTCTTACCTACTTGGGAAGCTGAGGCAGGAGGATCCCTTGAGCCCAGGGGTTTGAGGCTGCAGTGAGCCATGACCATGCTGTTACTTGCGTTGAATCTGTACGGGTCTGCAACAGCCTCAGTTCTCACCTCCTCAGAAGAAAGAATTCGACTGAGGAGCGTAATGCAGAAGGAGAGACCAAGGCAAGTTTTAGAACAGGAGTGAAGGTTGGTTAAAAATCTTTAGGCCAGGTGCAGTGGCTCACACCTTTAATCCCAGCACTTTGGGAGGCCAAGGTGGGCGGATCACTTGAGATTAGGAGTTTGAAACCAGCCTGGCCAACATGGTGAAACCCTGTCTCTACTAAAAACGCAAAAAAATTAGCCGGATGTAGTGGCAGGAGCCTGTAATCCCAGCTATTCGGGAGGCTGAGGCAAGAGAATCGCTTGAACCAGGGAGGCAGAGGTTGCAGTGAACCGAGATCACGTCGCTACACCCCAGCCTGGGTGACAGAGGAAGACTCCGTCTCAAAAACTAAAACTAAAAATAAGCTTTAGAGCAGGAATGAAAGAAAAGTGCACTTGGAGGAGGACCAAGCAGGCGACGAGAGAGCCAATGAGGGCTGGGCCTTTAAACTTGCAGTTTTATATGTTGGCGTACTTCCAGGGTCCTGTGTTACTTCTCCCCTGATTATGCCCCTGGCGAGGGCTGTCGCATGCGCAGTGGCCTGCCTGCACTTGCGAGAGGAGCAGGGCAGTGTGTTTAGTGAACACACTGAGTTCTACACATGTTCACTTGAGGCCTTCTTCTCTTACCAGTCTAGCATTCCGGTTAGATGACGCCATTTTGCCTCTTAATGCGCATGCTTGAGCCCACCTGCCCCACTCCTGAGATCTTGTCGGGAAGCTGCTCATCACCAGTTTCAGGTGTTTTCTATCTATTGGGAGCCTGCCCTTCCCTGGCACCAGCTGTGACCAACTATTATTTTAGGTAACAGTTAACAACCACCTGACCGTCACCTGAGGGTCAGCTGGCATCACCTGAGGCGGCAAAGGCTTAGGGGCCGCTGTTTCTGCCCTGCTTATGCCTGACTAGCTACCTACTGTTAACACTGCCACTGCATTCCAGCCTGGTCAACAGAGTGAGACCCTGACTCAAAAAAAAAAAAAAAAGTGTGAAAGAATCCTGAAACCAAAACATTTGGTCCTCATCATAATCCTAGTCATTGACAAGTCCAAGAGACACTGCATAATTTGAATGGACCACTCCCTTATGGAAATAAACTTTTTAACTTTATATAGTTTTCAGTATAAGCAGCTGAAAATGTCCACTTAGCAGGCTCTCTATTTATCACATGATCTTGACGCCTACTGCAAAAACACAACTGAAGCCAGCAGTGTGGACTTTCAGCTCATAGGCTCCCACTTCGCTGGCAGCAGCTCATCCTCCCTCACCTCCTGTGAGAGGCAGAATTCTAAAGCTGTGCTCCCAGGAGCCCATCTGGTTATTCTTTCAGGCACTGATCTAGATACTGGGAGAAGGGACTTTGCAGATTTCATTAAGGTTGCCAATCAGCTGACCTTAAAAGAGGGCAGTGATCCGGGAGGGCCCAGTGTAGTCACACAAGCCCAGAGGGGCTCACGGATAAAGGTGAAAGATTCAGCAGGAGACTCGAGATGGCGGCCTTGGCCGGGCGCAGGGGCCCGCAGCTGTAATCCCAGCACTTTGGAAGGCTGAGGCAGGTTGATCACTTGAGGACAGGAGTTCCAAACCAGCCTGGCCAACATGGTAAAACCCCATCTCCACTCAAAATATAAAAATTTTCCAGGCATGGTGGCACATGCCTGTAATCCCAGTTACTC